ACACGTGTGTTCTCTGCAAGCACGTGTGTTCTTTGCAAGAACGTGTGTTCTCTGCTACACGTGTGTTCTCTGCAAGCACGTGTGTTCTCTGCTACACGTGTGTTCTCTGCTACACGTGTGTGCTTCGCAAGCCATTGTGTTCATGTCGTCGTCACACTTTATGATAACCACTATTTTGTGGTGTTTCTCCATGCAGTTTCCATGCTATCTGTGCCGGATATGTAACCATAAAATCCGATCAATGATTTTGCTGAGCTTTGGAGCCCCGCTGATAATATTCCGAGTTATCAGCTGTATGAGGGATACAGTTGTGAATCGGTTCTTTATATATATACTGAGAGTTAAGCATGAGAAATTTTGCTGCTGTAGATCAATTTGAGTTGTTCAATTTACAGTATCCGTATTAAGACATTAATTTTTCCGAAATACTACGTACCGGTACTTAGATTTGTTCGTTGTACACTGGTCCTTCTAGTCTGTAGAGATTAGGCGAGCACAAACTTATCCAAGGGAATAATTTCGATGATGAATTGAGTTATCGATCGTTGGCAAGGCATAGCGCCCTGCATACGAGGCGTCGATGTAGAGAAAGGTAGGTAGCTGGGTATATAGGTATGGATCGCGACCCTGACCACGCCTTCTGCTGTGCCTCTGCCCTCTCACTCTTCCCCTCTCGCCCTCTCTCACTTACCCTCGCCCTTGTCTCTCTATATCTTTTTTGCCTTCTCTCTCCCACTCGCTCTCTTTCTCTCTCGTCCTCTCTTTGCCTTTCTCCCTCGTGCTCTCCCTCTCACTTTCCCTCTCACTATCCTCCTCTGTGTGTGGCCACTCGCACTTTCTAAGCACATTGCTTCAAAGATCTTTTTCAGCAGATATAACTTAGTTTTGTTTGATTGATATTCGGTGTAGTGTATTGCCTCTTCCCTGCATGCATTGATTAAGTCTGATCACGTATCAAGGCTCATCGCAACGTATTTACATTCGTTTAAAGTTGTCAGAACAGGAACTTGTAATCTGACGTAGGTGCGATGTTAACCTGTCGTTCAATGACATTACAAAGGTTAGCCTGAAGTACAACACCTGGGGACAGGTTAACCTGAAGTACAACACCTGGTGACAGGTTAACCTGAAGTACAACACCTGGGGACAGGTTAACCTGAAGTACAACACCTGGGGACAGGTTAACCTGAAGTACAACACCTGGAGACAGGTTAACCTGAAGTACAACACCTGGAGACAGGTTAACCTGAAGTACAACACCTGGGGACAGGTTAACCTGAAGTACAACACCTGGGGACAGGTTAATATAACGTACAAGATCATGCAGGTTCCGACTTATAAGATCATAATGGAATTCGTCTACGTTCTCTCTTTTCGATTTCGAAAGTATTTCGATTTCTTCTAGAAGAGCAGGTCTTGCTTTAATCTCGTGCACCTCCTTGACGATTTTATTTTTTTACTCCGTATAATTTTGTTCAATAACAGTGCCACCCGCACAACTGCATAACCTGGATAGTCATTCGTTAACATGGCTGTTGAATTTTTAATTGCAATGCAGGATCTACTCGATTTCAGTTCGCAATCCCCCGGTGTTTGCAACAAGTTTAATTTTATTTGCTTGACCTGACTCCATACGATCTCGATGAAATAACGAGTTAGTTGTCAAGTATAAAGAACTAAACTTCACTGAGTACTTCCTTTATTCGCTTCTATCTCTTCAAGAGCTCCAAAAGTTTACCATTCATTACATAATTTATATCAATTTTGCCATTGTCTTTTCCATCTTTAACCATCGTGAAATTTTATTCCGATTTCACGGGTTCAATATACCTCCTATTCTATTCTACGGCTATTGGACGAATTGGACACAGAAATTTAGAGCTTGAAAATAAATTTTGGGAGAGTAAAATATATCCAACTTGAAATAGATACTGCAACCCCTAAAGTGATAGCTTACGAAATCTCACTATGGCAATAAAACGTCGTATTACAATAGATGTATGGTTATTATAGTGCCCATATAGTACTAGCTGTTATCTGCGATAGGCTCTGCTCGATTTCACTAATTGTGACCAAAGTGGAGCGCATTGAAGTATTAAGTTATTACGAGAGTTTTGCGACTACCAATTTGGTCTTTAAGCAACGATCAGCTTTAAAAATTAAAATATCCTCTAATTTTCAGTGAAAAGTCACTGGCTATCTCACGTTTTACGATATTCGTTCCTGTCACTATTCCTGATGCGTGCCAATTATTGTCTACGCGTCTGTGAAATTTGCGTTTCTTTCGAAGTTTGTGTGTTGGTTTGAACTTTTTTATAAAGTCTTATATCGTTATCATATAGCCTACCTTAGAGCGCGTATTCCATATGTACTTTTCTTGACGAAATTCTGGATAACGGGAGTATCAAATATCATGGATTATCTATCATGAGCAACGCCAGGTTAATCTGCTAGGACACATATACTGATCAAAATAGTGCTGAAAAATTCAATTTAGACAAGAACGCTCTGCCAACCTTACGGAAAATATCGTCAGCGTGCCACGTATAGACGCTGCCATGCTCTAAATTCTTAACAGGTTCTACCTCTAGATTTCTCTCACGCATTTTATGCCTCTCGATTTGCACCGAATGAGAGTTTTTTCTATTAGCGATGTACTTTTTTTCGTCTTTTTTCGTGAAGGGTTTTGCCCCTTTTTTTGGCCCACAAAAAGGAGCGAATGAGTGCAACGTGCAGTAAAAATTTGTCAGTATTTTGACAATATGACCCATTCATTTTCTGGGTGTATATCAGTGCCTTTAAACGAAATATGTACTATCTCCATTGAGCTTCTAATATTTCTCTTAAGAGCGAAGTGAGAATAATTTTATGTTCGCATAAAGTCGATATATTATTCATTAAAATACTTTTCGTGTAAATTACTACTCAAAATATTCACTATCTTGTTATTGAGTTGTGAGAAGTTTGAAGTTGAATCAAACATTTTGAAGAAAAGACGCCACAGTGCAAGTAGACGGAAAGAGGTTTATCAGAGTATCAGTTCAAGCATCCCTGCTATAAAACCGATAGCCTTCATCTGGTAACATACGTTTCGCTGACATTCATGATTTATAAGGTCTAAGGAGTAGTCGGTGTATATCCGCATTTAAACACTGAATTCTCCTTGAACAACGAGTGCTACTTACCTGCGGTCCTGTGGGCAGCCAACTTGTTCTTCTTGTATATTAAAGCGCATAGTCCATTTGCAGCCGAAGTGCTTTCACCTCATGGACAGGTTCCTTTCTCACCACACGTAACGCTCAGCATCCTATAATCTCAGTAGATTTGTGCGGTTTAAGAATCCACTGATCACTTGCGCAGTTCATGCAGGTGCTTTTTCGGGTCCAAATCGTCGTGCTGGCGCATTTTCCCTTATTAATCATACTCGCAATTTACTTCTTCGAATTTCAGTGCCATTTACTTGGACCTCAATTGACAGGTTATGTGATTCTTCTTCTGCATTTCCGCTGGTCAGTAATCAATTATTTTCGTTTCGTATAATTTTAATTCTTGCCTCTAAAATATTTCTAATCGATTTATTGACACAATGAATGATTTACCCAAGTGTATCTTGATGTTATGACGTCACAGTTCGGCGGGTACTCCGCTGACAGTTTGTGCGACCGCATCGTGGACGCGGGGGCCGAGGTGCTGCTTTGCGCCGACGGTGTCTGGCGCGGCAACAAGCTTGTCCATCTCAAAGAGATCGCCGACGAAGGTGAGGCAAGAGTCGCTTCTTAGGCTCCTTTAAATAATAGTTGCAAGAAAATACTACATCTCTTCTTAGGCAATTATAATTCCAAGAAAAAATTACAATATATTATACAAATATAGTTGAAAATTATTTTAATTACAATCTAATAGTTTTCACTCACTGTATCGAAGTGTACTTCAATTAGAAGTAACTGATTTTTTTAGCTCTTTTTGTGCGTATAATTAGAAATATGTACATCAGGCAGGTAGTAAATTCTTCCTGTCATGAACGTTTGGGAGAATATGGTGAGACGAACAAAATCAGCGATCCGTTCAAATGCTGAAACCCACATCAAAATTTGCAAAATATCAGTCGAGAAAGAGATAGCAAATTGTTTGCCATACTTCGTCCGCCCTCCTTTTGCCATAAATCGTCCGCCCTCCTTTCGGTATATTATTGAATGACTTCTGACTGGGAGAGAGGCGGTCACCGCACCTCGTATCTTATATCTGTAGCAAACTGCGGTCACCGCACCTCGTATCTTATCTGTGACAAACTGCGGTCACCGCACCTCGTATCTTATCTGTGACAAACTGCGGTCACCGCACCTCGTATCTTATCTGTAACAAACTGCGGTCACCGCACTTCGTATCTTGCCTGTGACAAACTGCGGTCACCGCACCTCGTATCTTATCTCTGGCAAACAGCGGACATATCAGTACGTCACTCAGCCCCTCCAAGCTTCTTATCAATTGGCGTTATCAGTCGGCACGCTTCACGCTGTATAGGCGTGTGGAGGCTTCCATCTCATTTTTTCTTTTAGCGATGCTTCAGTTTTCTGAATAGATTCATAATGTTGGTAATTCAATATTTTGAATTGTTGTCAATGTATTCATGTGAAGAAATTGCTATTAAAATAATAGGGCTGTGAAAAGACTTCAATTTATTGATGTTATCCGAGCATCCTAAATGTGTCTTAATCATGCTATATAGGTCTGACTTCGTACACACAATGTATTGTGGTTAAAGTGAGTTAGCCTTCAAATATTATTCATATCAGTGAGTAGCTTGGGGAGGCTGATCCTCATGCGGTTTGTTGCCATCAACTTGTTACGATTTTGTTGTCATCAACTTGTTACGATTTTGTTGTCATCAACTTGTTTGTTGTCATCAACTTGTAACGGTTTTCTGTCGTTCCGATTCCGTATGATTTATTCCACAAATTGTTACCCAGTCATCAAATTCCGTTATTTTTCATCGAATTTTCAGCCAACAAGATATGCGGCAGCTGATGCATGTAAACTTTCTATAGTTTCTTTGGTTGTTTGTTAATCTTTATGATATTTCAGAGCTGTTGAAATTGCACTTTTTTATTTATTGCTCATACATCAAGATGTGTGGCAGCCGAGGCACGTAAATCTACATTATCTTTGGTTAATTGTTCTATTGTAATGTTTTTCAAAGCGGTTAAATTTGTATTTTGTACCTATTCGTGTTGTCAGCCATGAAGATGTGCAGCAGCCGCGGCGTGGAGGTGCGTCTGAATGTTGTGGTGCGACACATGACGCGCGTCACCCACCCTGCGTCGCTGCACGACACTTCCAACGGTCATCCCGCCAAGAAAACCCACTTCGATCACCAGGTGTGTTACACTGTTATATTTGTTAGCCTTGCATTTATTGCTGACTCATCTCTTCGATACTAAACAACTAACTATTAATTTAGTACAGTATTAAACTTCTGTTTAAAATTACAAGTGATTCCGTTTATTCGAGCTACGACAATAATCAAGTAACCATTATTTGGGTACCGTATTAAAGTTCTGTTTATAATTACAAGTGATTCCGGTTTTCTTGAGCTACGACACTAACCAACTAACCATTAGATGGGTTTTAAAGTTCTGTTTATAATTACAAGTGATTCCGGTTTTCTTGAGCTACGACACTAACCTGTTCTTCCGCCCTTGCTTGGCTGTTCCACTCCTCGTCGCTCCTGCAGGGGCGCTACAAGGTTTGTGCGACGACTGCGCTGCTCTGCTAAGCTATGCGTGTTGTGTGTTGTCCATTAATTTACAAGCACTGTGATTACCGTCTCCGCACCAAACATAAACATCACCCTGTGTCATTTTTGTGCAGTATTGTGCGAATCTTTCCCGTCACCATAATGCCAAGCTGATTTTTGCTTTAAAAATAGATAGCAACGAAAAGAACCCGAAATTATCAGACGTGTGTGGTATTAAATGAACTATAGGCATTCGTGGGCTTGTGTTTGTTGAGTGTTAGTGTAGTGTTCTTTTTTTGAGTTAACGTGTTCTTGCGATCAAATACCTTAACCCGGTTTTACGGTACGTATTGGTACTGCGAGAAAAATTCTACAAATAATTTCATGCGCAACTACGGACTTGATTTGATTGTAAGTTTTCCACCAACTTTGTAGGTTCCTTCGTAACTGATTGCTGTTATGCTGGCTGAATTCAGACGTGCACTACTTCTAAATTGACTGCAATCTTCCTAACTCTGTGGTTTCCACTTGTATGAAGGCTTTAATTTGCGAACTCTACATAATGTTTCCATGGAAGATTTCGATTTTTATTCACAACATTTTTTACTCCTAGTAGAAATTGTGGACAATGCCCCGACATGTTTGTTTCAGTTTTGTTCTCTGAGAACCAATTCAATACGATTTTTTCCCACTTGAATCCCTCGTCTGAAAGACTTATAGTGAAACCGAATTTTAAATTCACCCGAAAAACAAGTTGAATTGCTTAAATATTAAATCATTTTTCTCTAATTGGTTTAAAATTCTTTATTTGTTTCTAGAAATGAAATCATATTTGTCCCTGCGACTGTGAGAATGATAAATTGATCCTCATCCTCATATCAGCAAACTGTGGGTACAATTTCTGACACTGTTAATCTTATGATGATAAAGTAAGCCCAAATTTGACTTTGTAACCAACATTGTTGATCATCGCCCTGTCAATGTGATGTCAGTGATAATGTCACCGTGTGGTGCTTATCTTTGAGGATTCGGGCAGAAAATGTCATCAATGTGAAGTAATTGATCTGGTGTAGATTTGCACTCTACATATGCTCATATATTTCTTTATAAAATGCACTACTTCTGGATAAATCGTAAATATAGTACTGAAATTTACCGTAAATATCTTGTAGGTAAAAAATTTTGAACATCGCCTGGTGATGTACTGCTATTCTACATTAGATATTCTGTAGAGAAACATCGGCGAATGTCGCCTTGTGATGCACTGCTAGTGACACATCGACTTGTGGTGCACTGATGAGTATTTCGTTGTGATGCACCGGTTCAGATCTTTAAAGTTTTCACTTTTTATTCATTGTATCACTCATCTTAGGATGCACTCGATGTCTGCACCTTCTGACTTGCGTTCTAATGCACTCTTTCAGTTTGTATTCGTAGCACAGCTCTCTTGTATTCGTGGCTACACTTTCTTCGTTTAAACTTTAAGGTTCTGTTCAAATATTTGTGGTCGGTTTACCGTATTATATATGACCTTAGTATAAGTTTGTCTTGACTAATTGGTACCTCAAATGTTTTTTTTTTTACAAATGATCAACGCGTGTTATTTTAAACATTCTGGCTGAAATCAAATTTGATCAAACGTTAAAATTGTTTCTACCATTACCTTGGAGGCAAGAAGTGTTCTGATCTTCCAGGTGATCTTTAGTTTCATGAACTTATTATTACATTATACATTTTGCCACAGTTACGTTGTAAGGAATAATCGCTGTGGTATTACAGGTGACTTGGAATAGCGATGTGGACGTGGACTGGGAGACCGCGACGTCCTCCAGCAGCAGCGAGTGCCCCGTCGTGTGGCTGGACTCAGAGGACCCATTGTTCATGCTCTACACCAGCGGCAGCACCGGCAAGCCTAAGGGCGTCTTGCACACTGTGGGGGGCTACATGCTCTACGCCGCTACCACCTTCAAGTACTCTTTCAATTACCATCCTGGCGACGTGTACTTCTGTACGGCTGATATTGGCTGGATTACAGGACACTCTTATGTCACATACGGACCTCTACTTAACGGCGCTACCTCTGTACTTGTGAGTGTTGTTCACTTTGCTTTGTTTGACTTGACATTGTAGTCAAACAGAATGAACAAAATGTGTTGGGGCGGGGATGTTGGCTTCATAAGTCGTACGAATGTTAGCGTAAAAAATGCGTACGAATGTTAGCGTCATTATGCGTACGAATGTTAGCGTCATAATGCGTAGGAATGTTAGCGTTATAATTCGTACGAATTTTAGCGTTATAATGCGTACGAATGTTAGCGTTATAATGCGTACGAATGTTAGCGTTATAATGCGTACGAATGTTAGCGTTATAATGCGTAGGTACGAATGTTAGCGTTATAATGCGTACGAATGTTACGATTAGCGCCCGCACTCTCTCCAACGGAGTAATGCATACCGGTATCTATCATACCGCCCTCCCTACTATTTGAATGGAATGTAGTCTCTTCTTCGAATAATTTATTTAATCTGAGTTTAATAATTGTAACATTTTCAATATACTTTCTTAATGTCCGATAATCGTAATGTTTGATTAATGTTTCTTATTTCGTTAGTTCTATATTTTGTCTAATAGACGAATTGTGACGACGAATTGGATTGAGGGAAAAAATAATTCAATTGAGCTGAATGCATCAGCTTGACTGCCGAAAATAGCCTAATTAGCGTGGAATTTGCGAATGAGGACACATTTTTATTTAATATCGAGTATTGAACGTCCGATCTTTTATGTTTTAGGCATCATAAACGTTTAGTTAACTCCGCAAAGGGTTCCATGTTCGACGTTAGGTCTGCGTCAACTATACAAAAGAAATGTTCTTCAAATTTTTTAAAAGACATCTGTGGTCGTGATTTGTCGACAAAATATTTTTCATCCTCTACACATTCTGTACCAAGGTAACATTCTTGCATCTGCTTTATCTTCTTTTATCATTGTTATGCGAACACCAATTTGGCAAATAGAAAGAGCGGGATTATTACTTGAGAATCTTGCGAGTATGAGTTTGAATGAAAAAAAAGTTGTTTTGTGTTGACAGTTCGAAGGCGTGCCGACGTATCCCCACACCGGCCGCTTCTGGGAGATCATCGAGCGCTACAAAGTGAGCAAGTTCTACACAGCGCCCACCGCCATCAGGACGCTCATGAAGTATGGCGACGAGCCTGTCAAAAAGTGAGTCAAGTCAAAAACTGAATGTAGTCAAAAAGTGAGCCAAACAGTGAATGTAGTCAAAAAGTAAATCATTACGTTATAATCGCACCTAGTTATAGCATTGTTGTACCCATGCAAGCCAAAAAAGGCTAAGATACGTTTCTGCAACAGCTTCGAACACAACCGAACTTAATAACAATCTCGACCTTATATCAGCTACTATTTCCTTCATCCCGCTATAGATAAGACAAGAATAATGCAACTAAATAAAGTTCTATATGGTGTTGCTTTGCCGCAGGTTCGACGTTTCGTCACTGCGCGTGCTTGGGACGGTGGGTGAACCCATTAACCCCGAGGCTTGGTTGTGGTACCACCGCGTGGTGGGCGGCGGTAACGCGGCCATCGTGGACACCTTCTGGCAGACCGAGACCGGGGGACACGTGATCACCCCCCTGCCGGGGGCAACCCCCACCAAGCCAGGCTCAGCGGTCAGTGGCAGAATCATTTGGACTTTTTTGAGCAACCGTCAGTGACAGAATCATAAGGAATTTTTTAAGCTACCGTCAGTGACAGAATCATTGGGACTCTTTCAAGCTACCGTCAGTGACAGAATCATAAGGAATTTTTTAAGCTACCGTCAGTGACAGAATCATTAGGAATTTTCTAAGCTACCGTCAGTGACAGAATCATTAGGAATTTTCTAAGCTATCATGAACAAATAGCATTTAGAACTACTCTAAAAAATATGACAGCCTCTGAAAGCCATATAATTTCATCCCGTTAATAACGTGAGCTAGAATTATTCCATAATTATGAAGCCAGGAGACTTGGAACAGTGATGTAGACTGTATGTAACTATAAGTGCGGCCGCTCAGCAATTATATGCACTAATACCTTCTGGTCGCAAGATAAGTTATTTTAAATGTGACGTTGAAAATAATCTTTCCATGCTGCTCCCTCCTGAATAGTAATGTGTCTTAGATTTACTGGCTTGACTTTTTCTGTTTGAGGTTTTCGTTGCGTCGCGTCGCGGCTGTTTAATCATTGTGCTGCTTGCTGGTATGTCTTCCGTTACAACTAAATGCTGCTCCAGTACCATACTAACGTGATGGTCGTACGGTGACATGGTAACTTCATACAATAATATATGTATTTTGCAGCTTGTGTACCGCCTTACTGTAATATGGTACCTTGATGCACTAAATTTATTTTGCATTTCGGAGCTCCCGTAAAACGATAATGCGCGTGCGACTCTCTTCTGTGATAATGATCCTACATTGCCATGCTAACATCATACAATTATTCTAATAAATTTAATATAGTAATAATACTTTTATTTTAATTTGCAGTGTTTCCCGTTCTTCGGGATCTCGGTGTGTCTGCTGGACGAGGCTGGTGAGGAGATCGAGGGCGAGGGTGAAGGCTACCTCGTGTTCCGGCAGCCGTGGCCTGGCATGATGCGCTCTGTCTATAACAACCACCAGCGCTTCCAGGAGACCTACTTCCAGAAGTTCCCTGGCTTCTACACTACCGGTGATGGTCGGTATCGAACTCTGGCTTGTGTTTGTTGTTTATTGGTGATTGTATCTTGTTCTATTATAGACACTTTTATATTATAGTCAGACTTTAAAAATAATCCATACCAGTTTGAGGTATAAAATACCCACCCATTACAAAATTATCTACACATTACTAGGCCCCCCAAACTTGTTCAATAGTCATTCAGAACCTATTATAATGCAATGAAATAAAAAAAATTGACCACCAGATATCTCCTTCATGTCAAAATCCATCAAGACAGTTTTCCGATTTTATTTAATATTTGAGCGCTGTTTTAGCAAATTTTTGTCAACATTTCTAGAGGAATAAATTTCACCAAATTTGTTTAATATTTTATGTTAGCGCTACCTAAAGTTTGTGTTTATTATTAATTTCAACTATTTGCTAATGTAATTGAACGCAAGAATCGTGGTGTTAATATTGTTTGATTAAATTAAAGGTGCACGTCGTGACAAGGACGGCTACATTTGGGTGACGGGCCGCATAGACGACATGCTTAACGTCTCCGGCCATCTTCTTTCCACCGCTCAGGCGAGTTCTCATCTTACGGAACTTTTCTTCATCAATGAAATGGCCATCACCTTAATTGGGAATTTGGGATGCGAAAGGAAAAAAATTGAAATGGATTTGCAACAATGATTACCCCATACATCAAAATTACATCTGCCATATTGATAACTAACGACATAGTTGAATTATCTTATGTTTTCTTTACCTGCCTTGCATTTACTGTTCTCCAAGTGCAAGTTTTGTTATTAATATAAAGTTTCCATAGTTTATTGCTATTCCCGCCTTATTTAGCTAATGAGTTATGAATTATTTTAGTATCTATACATTTCATTTCTCTCAAGATGCAAGATGTAGCTTCCATTTCTACTCGTACGTATTAATTGTACGATACTGTTTCTGTTGTGCAGGTGGAAAGTGCACTTGTTGAAGTAGAGCAAGTTGCCGAGGCAGCAGCAGTAGCGAGACCACATCCCGTCAAAGGAGAATGCCTTTATTGCTTCGTCACTCTTAAACAAGGAGAGAAGTTCACCGAAGAACTCGTCGCCGACATGAAGAACAAGGGTGAATATGATCTATTTATCATAAAGTGGTGTCAGCTTAGATTAGGCCATTTTGGCCTGTCGCAGACTCTTAACCACTTTACCAATTTCGACCCTGCTAGTAAAGGGAACACCTAACTCTCTGCTCCAATTTTAATGATCTGAAAACCACTCGACCCCACCGAGCTTAAATAATCTCCCGTGTTTTGCTAGAGGTATAATCCTACTGTAAATTTTCTCATGAAGGGAATTATCCCTTGTGTTTTTTAAATGAAATTAGATTCAGTTCATTATTTTAAGGTGAGTTACCTTACTTTTCAGTTCGAAGCAAGATCGGCCCCTTCGCTCAACCTGACTACTTGCAGCTGGCACCAGGATTGCCCAAGACTCGCTCAGGCAAAATAATGCGGAGGGTGCTCCGCAAAATCGCCGTTGGCGATCGTGATTTTGGTGATATAACAACTCTTGCCGACCCAACGGTGGTGGAGCTTCTTTTTGAGAATCGTCCTGCCAACGCTTAGACGTGCGTTTCAATAATGAACAGCAACCACTCTTGATGAAAAGAGTTGAAGGAGCTGAATGGTTGTGCATTTGACAATTTTGTTAACTCGCCATGCTTTTATTTTAGCATCGATGTGAAGTACTGTGTAATACTGCCGAGCGCGACGATCGTCTTAGCTGGCTTCTTAAGTATGGTGAATTTGATAGCCAGAACGGCTGGTTACAAGATAGTTATGAGATTTGCTCCGTATATTTTGGACCACTAGAAAAACGTTAAGAATTTTATTTTTTCAACAATACCTTGACTTTCCATAAGGATTTGCCTTTATTTTTGACAAACGATTGACGAAACTTTGATTTTACCTTCTTAGCCTTATTTGTTCACTTAATAGTGAACTTAACTGAAGTTAATACTCTATTAACTCGGTAGAGATGATTTAGTATGACGGTCTGTTGCTTATTGTCTGCGAGTGACATGTACGAAATTCCTTGTATAAAATATATCATTATAAAATGATTTCTTTGCTTATCAGAAGCTGATTTTAAACGCTTAGTTGATGTTTAAAAAACTGTTATAATATTGATAAAAAATATTTTGCTTAGTTTTGATGTCTTTTGTAGAATTTTCGTTCGTTTCTTACATACTTTTCTCGTAGATGAGGAAGAATTGTTAACTTTTAATCGTTTAGGTAGGTCACGGACAATTACCGTAGCCCGCAGACAAGTACCGTAAGCTGCGGATAAGTGCCGTTTCTTCGCGTAGGTTTGCACGGGGCAGTGACCGTAGTCATGTCGCTCCCCGAGATTTTCTGCACGTTGATGTCAAGCGCACTTCGTTGTTGTATTCAATGCACAACTGTTGCTGTGATGTGTACTTTGAAATGCCACACAATTCCCCTACCTGTTCATATTTCTCTAGTATTGACTTATTGTACATTAAATTTCCGTCACCTCGTTCCCTTGTGTCCTGAAAGCTTGTTATTTATGGACAAATTATTTATTTTAATAGAGTTTCTGTATACATTGGAAGTAATTCCCTTAAGGTCAGAATGCACGCTTTGGAAATACCTGGTGACAGATGGAATTTGTTCAGACTCGACTGGTGCTCGTAATGCTTGTCTTGGTGAATGGCGTGTATGATGTCAGTTCAATGTATGGCTCCTTATGGAGCGCCAGATGAATATTTTATTGATGCTCCGTCATCGTGTTCGTGCTGATGTTGTCCAATTATACACGTATGATCAACAAGGTTTTATTCACTTTAGGTTGATATTGGTTCTGCTGGAACGACCTTGACAACCGCCATACAATGAATCATCTTCGAATAAAAACATCAGGTGAAAAAAAATAGATTTTTCAAACATTTTAAAAGAAAGTTGAAAGTTACGCAAGAACAAATTTAAATTTTAGTACATCAAAGATCGTATTTGTGTGTGTCTGGTCGACGTAACTTTTGGGTGGTGCTCATCAAGGCCGATAAAATTTTTTCAATACACCTAACTAATCCAGAAGTGCTGAATATATAATCCAGAAGTGCAGAAGACCTAAATATAACCGCATTCAGTTATCACCGACTTATTTTATCAGAAACTTGTACCGAAAAAAAAATTATACCGAAAAAAACGTATACATTACCCAGAGAGGTGCAAGAAAAAAATCAGAATGCCTCGAAATGATAAGAGGATAAACCGAGACCACTCCTTGCGTCCGTAACGCGTATCATTCCTGGTTCATGTCATACCAGGAATTTTATCCATCAACCGATCTTAACATCGTCCGATGCATTACTCGACCTTGTGAACTCGTGCTGGCTCACGTCACGACCACGCCCACGTCACGACATCGTTGTAGCAGCTGGCCAATGAGAGCAGACGTGGTCGCCTCGTCGCCGTGCGACGTGTCAATGTCGTGGTCCCAGGCACATACATCGTCCAAGTCGCACTCGCTCGCTGCATCGTCAACACCTGCAGATATTAGCAGGTTGACGATGGTATAACTGGTGTTATAATTAGCAATGGTTTAGATGTCTTGTGATCAACAGACGTAACCAAACTAAATAATGTGCGTTAATGTTCTATTCAGATAGTAAATAATGTGCGTTAATGTTCTATTCAGATAGTTATCGGTATGGGTATCGCACGAGCAATTCATATATTTAGGCAAGCTCGAGTGTAAAAAGGTTTAATTTATGAACACCAACGAAAGAATATTCGTTCGTAATAAAATGAAATATACAACATTCTCTCGACTGCTTAGCTCAGTGCCTGCCAAACTGTGGGTCATCGCTCTAGATTGGGCACGAGTGTTCCTGTTAGGACTTTGAAGATAATGCTGCTCTTTCGGGTCTGGGCAGAGATTAACGAAACTGCTAAGTTCACGTAACTTTTCGTACTTACGTTCAAAAAGTTACGTATTGCGTAAGTCAGTCAAAATTTGGCATTAACAAATATGTCTTACGCAAGACTCATCTGAAAAGGTATTATCGAAACCATGCAACTAACTGACCAATCAGAGGTTTCGAATTTGCCATTCCTAGCTCCTGTCGACTCAGTACGCAGTGCGCCTGGATGAAAGGTGGATGTATTGTGTCAGCGTCATCTGCGTTGACTGACTAGGGAGCATATGGAGAAATGATTGAGACGTTGTCTAAATAGCAATGACAACGCCTTGATTTCCCATTCAAATTTTGAGGACTTCTTAGAGAGCTACCTAGAATTTAGAACATTTTGTGAGTTGGAGTTCAACTATAAGCGGAAAAATAAAGGAATTTGTGTACGTAGCTAGAAAAATGGTTGGCTTGTCAAACTCCTCTTAGTTTTGAATCAAAAGTCATGAAGATATTATTTTAGAGAATGATCATACAACTCTTAGCTACGAATATCAAGATTTGCTTGCAAATTATAGCACAAAGGAAAAGAAATTAGCTGGCTTAACTTAATTGAATTTTTTTCTCAAAAAGCACCGTTTTATTTAGCACGATCACATATTATGCCTATGTTGAATTATTGACAAAATTCTATCACAATTCACCGTGTTGCAAGTAAATCAATAGTTTTATATTGCTTCGGCACACTCAAAACGTCTACGTAACTCCACTTACGACACCTCCGAGCAGGCGTAGAGCTACGTACGGCTTCTTGTACGTAGCTTCCCGCCCAAATGTTTTGATAATACCACCGCTAGAGTTACTTCTTCATATCAGCACTTACGCCACACGTAAGTCGCTACGTGTACTTAGCGATGTTTTGATAATCCGGCCCCTGGTTCATCTTTGAACGTAGCTGCGTCTTTGACAATGAATGCACTTCCACGTAGACATAAATGAGGTCATATTACCGTTTGGAACTACTGAAAACTAGGAATATCCTGAACTAGAGGAATAAGGGCGATGATTCTTGCCGAAGTTATGAAGCATAAATTATATACCTTTGGTAAACTTCCAGCCCCTGTTGACGCGTGCGTCTGGTGACGCAGACACGCGGACAGTGACGCACTCGTTAGGGTAGTTCGTCCGGAAGTATTGCAGATCAGACCTGCGCCGCATGTCGCTCACGATCCACACCGGGAAGCTCTCACCTGCACGATTTAAAATGGATTACACTTAACCCTTGCCAGACTGCATAATTCTACATGTTATAATCGCACCTTCTGTATGTACAGTTGCGTCCATGCAGTCCGAGAAAAGTTAAAAAATGATATTTATTTTTTGGATGTTTCTTGAATAATTACGTGTAGATAGCGTTATGTCACGTAGGGTTAACAAATAATTTAAAACATTCAAAACGAACAAAAAACCGGTTAAGTTACCACAATAAACATAAAAATGCATACCAATTAAATCAGAACGGATTCTGTTATTACATGCGAACACTTGCTTTGTACTTCGATGTTACATTATAGTTGACAAAAACTGCAGTACATTCTAAAAAGTAAACGACAGGGAAATCGTTACAATGATATTACATCAGACGAGATGAATGACATAATTTGACCGACCTTTAGCCAGATGAACAGCTCTGATGATGAAGTAAGATGGGTCACGAGCCCTCACTTGTTCGCCCCACTTGATCATGTCGTGGCGGTGCTGCTCTTTATACTGCGACGCTGTCAGCAGCTCAGTGTAGTCCAGGCCGTGTTGAGAGGCGTATTCGTGCTTCAGCGGCGCTGATAAGCGAATTATTGTCGCGCATGGCGGAGGAAATCTGGACGAAATTCTAAGATATTAGTGCATTGATTCCTTACATGTATGTCTTATTGTGCGCCGTTAGTCCATATCGTTTTTTTTTCATGAAACAAGTAAAATATTCTAGTTTAATTCAACGAAATAAGGTTTCATTCATGGATAATTGACCTTAGTTCAGCGTTTTTTATTAATCAGAAAGTTCTTGGTATGTAAAGCTGATGCGAGTTGAAACTTTCACGTTGAGCGCTGCACGACCCACCATTGAGTTATAGGGTCTTTTTTTTCGGACAAATTCTGCAATTTAGTTTTTTAAATTGCGTTAGTGGACAAAGATTTATGATGGCAGTACTACCTCTACAAATTTTAAAATGTACAGACATAAGGAAAATTTAATTTTTGCACCGGAACGTACAAATTTACTAGTATATTTTGAATTATAGGCCTTTTTATCCGCGGACTTGGCGTTTTTAGGCCATCTGCCGGCGCTGCCTTGTCGTGCCGCACTCAACGTGTTGAAAAATGCATGAAAATAATTCCAAGAAGTATGATGAACCAAGCGAATAACTAATATAGAACTGGCTGGCTGAAGCCATTAACATTTCCGGTAAGAATTACTAACATGACCAACAAATTCATAAATTTCAACTAACCTGGAGAGCAATTTTTCAGAAATGAAATCTTTCCCTGACTTTCGTTTTCCAGAAAACAGAAAAATTATTTTTGGTTGTGTCATGAATGTTTCAAAAATATCTCAGAAGATACTAGCCCACGATAAGCGCTCGGTGAACGCTTCGTTGAACGAAGTAAATTCAATCTGAGGAATGAAGTTAAAATTATTTTCAAAACACAGCCAAGTCGTGCCAGAATTAAGAAAAAATTCAATTTTTCAATTCCTTGAGAAGAGAAATTCTTTCCGCTACTAAATGCATGATCGAATACTTTTTGTCATAAAATGCAACACGTTGTGAAGAATGTGATGAACTACGAATACCCCTTTTTTACCGTAGAATTTATTAGATTTTCACATACTAGGAATAACTTCATTGGGAGCGTTAATTCGAGTCCAGATTACCAAACAAAACACTCAATTTATCATCGATTTTTTGCAGATTCAAGGGTCAGATCTGTTTGATCACGAGTTTAAAAAAATGAAAAAACGACCGTAAAAAATGCATTTCATAATGCTTCGGGGCTAGGGCAATCCAGAGGTCGCCCCCACACACTCTACGGCGCACCAAAGCCGCCCTGAGGAATGAGAACCGCAGCTATATACCTATATTATATACTGACAACTATATATATTCAAAGCTCTCGTGAGTAAAGGCTCCATCCTCGGCCACGCATCATCCTTCATATCAGGGAATCGAACACAGGCATTCCCGTCCTAACATTTCGTTCAAGCATCGCCGTCTAGCGTGTACACACCTTGATTAGCTGAAAAAATGTCTGTCACAGGTGTCATCTTAACGTGATCTCGTTAAGTAAACTCCTAACAACTCAGAATAGAAGGGCTTTTCTAATGAAGTTCAGTATTTCAGTTCCTAATTATTGAAAAAGCGCTCATCGGGTCATCTTACCAGCACATCTGTCCAGCTGCCATAAATTTCAACGACTCGCCATCTTTAGAGCCTCTCAACAACTGCCTTTTTTTTCTAAAGGCTGTCGTGCTTACTCATTCATCCGCACTGCTGCTATATTTTACAAGAGATCATTTTTTTTAATTGCCCATCTTCACAGCTTCATTAGATTACAACAGCTCGCTATCATACCTGTTAATGTGTACAGCTGCTATATTTTGTAACGGATCGCAATTTTAATCGTATATTTTCACATGTGCGACAGATTAAAACGGCTTATCTGTTACTCCTAAACGTTTACATTGCTCTTCATCCTCCTTCAAGTCGGGTTTAGAGGCAGCTTCATTAAAAAAAACCGTCGTAATCATTCTAATGATCCCAAACGAGGCCGATGGTCAATGCAAAAAAAAAAAATCGAAGCCGCAGGAAATGTGCGATTATTTTGCGACTCACAAATGCGGATTACTGTCTCGTAATCAGGCGAGATCTAAGTTTGTTTGATTTGTTGAAACCATAACAGAAGTGAGCTTGCTTCATGCGACTGGGTGGAGAATTCCCGCTTTCATTGATACCGCGCAAAATAAGTTATGCACATTTGAAGTCGATTTAATCAAAACAAAAACAAGGGACCGCAAATAATAAAATAATATCGACACTTTCCTGCATTAAAAATAAATTAACTGATTTAAATTAATCAATCACTTTATTCTCCAGCGGTCACAAAGTTACCCTAATGTTCATTTCGCCTTGACAGACGAGATAATAAGACTCGCACCTGCGCACCTTTTCTGAAATTTTCCCATCATTTCTTTAGGGCAAAAGCTAATAACCTCGGACATTAAAAGGAAATGTTGCGTCAGATTTAAACACCAGCAGGGTCGGGATTTTGCAACAACGCTTCGGAGTAAAGGGCGTGAGAATAAAATGGTACTACGGTTTTCTGGATAGCAGCATAAAGTCATGCAAGTGCGACAAATAATGTACCAACAATGCAGTTTGCAACGTCCATTGTAACAGCAGGCTCGACTCGTGTAGCTGTACGTTTCAAGTCTCGAGCAACAGCGGCACTGATGGCGGTATTAAGAGCATTGTCCACCCGAGCACGCGATGTGTTCGGGGTATTGAGATTTGACTTCAAAGTGGCAGATGCGGGAAGGATTGCAGCCACTGTTAGCTCACGCATTCTTCGCAAGTATTTCCAAAATTTAATAGCTACTTACCAACAATTGGCACGATGAAAATTAAGACGCGCCTACTTCAATGACAAAAAATTTACCAATCATTAAGATGAATAAGAAAAGGCAATACCATATTCATATTTTATTGTAGCAACTAATACATAGTTTCCAATCTTAGTCTTAATGGTTCCCTATGGCTATTAGTCCTGCCTAAAATAGATAGGATTTTTAGCAATGGCAACCTATTGAAGAGAACGATAGCTCGACAAGTTCCGCAATGACGGTCAAATGAACAATTCTCCGCACTTTATTTAGCGCTCCATTCAAGATGCTGGCGTACAACTAGTAGGCTTAGGAATGTTTCCTCATACACACATGCAGCCGTAACATTCATACCAAATAAACGTCAAATAAACTTCAGATAAACGAGCATTCCCGTACGCGGTAAATGTTTGGCTTGCTAGTACGCTCCTGGCGCCTTCAGTAATACAACTCTCACTCAACACACATCATACAACACTGTAGAAAAAGTCACAAAATGATAAGATGATAGCAGTAAGTTGACGTTGGTATCCTATGAACTGGAAGCAGCATCAAATATCACAGACACGTCACGACCATGCCACACGAACTGCGTCGTCGTGTTATCACGCTCGCATCCTCACACCAGCATGCACAAATTGTAACACAAAATTGGATGAGCAGACTGGCACATTAGGAAAATAATTTCATTTACTTATCTCATGCTAACAACACAGCGACAAAGCACACAATAGGCGAATCGTCAGTACAGTCAATAAAATAATGGCGGTAACGTTTGACCTGAGGTAGGCACCTAACATAAACAAAAAAGTTGGTCATTTAACGTCAGTCGCAGAGAAAGTCTCGCAAGCAAAACGCTAGTGGAGCTCCAGCACCACCACAACACCATAACAATACTTCCTACATACACAATAATGTACACCAGAGCAAGAGAAAGCGAAGGATGCTGACCTTATAATGGGCTAAATGCAGCAACAATGATAATCTATTTACACTAGTATAGTTGGCGCAACTCGTCTAGAAGAGAGAGTTGCGAATATAAACAATATAAAGGTCAGCATACTTGGCATGTAAGGATGAGGAACAGCGGTATCCTCACGCACCTCGCTAATTTGTACACGCGACACTCACGGTCTCCTCATTTATCACAGACAAGAGAACGGGCATAAGTTCATAAGAATTATACTTAAACATACGACATTCAGTTCCACTGAGGTATTCTTAAACATACGGCACTCACCAAGAATTATACAATGTTACAAAATCTTATACGGTAAAGACACTCATAAGCGAGTCATAATTCTTAATCATCTATACGCATCACACGATGCACACGACAGTGGGGAGATGTTCATCTTAATGATAGCTTGCACAACGCAGGAAACAATCGCTCGGAAAATGTTTGTTCTCATACCAGCTGATCACATGACCATCAATAACTTGGCGTCTACATACATCCACTCTCATAAACGCAACCTACAATATTTCCGAAGGCATAAAATCATTACACAATAACACACAAAGATGACGAGATCATGAACAAGAACATTAGTACCATAAAGATTGATCAAACCAGACTATGGTGCTACCGACGCTTCGAGTCACTCTGCGTTGCAGCGAATATTAGAAGCTTGGTAGTACATTTACAGCCAAGCATTAATTGTGAAAATTTATTTTACGTCGATGCTATCAAGTTTTACGTAAAGTGGAGCACGATACACCAAAAATTTCAAGGTTAAGTCGATAAATGAAACGAAAACTGACCGCCACACCATGAGCTACAAAAAAAATTATTTGCTTCGTATCGGAGTGAAATGTTTCGACAACAATGGATGACTAGAAAAATGTAGGATTATCCAACATACGAAACTTGAGAATAGAAATAAACCAAACCTTAAAGATTATTAGAGTAAAGAGAGAGAAAGAGCACAGCACCAGGCATAAAGGCACTATAACCACCAGCAACACGCATCAATGAGACGGTCGATCGGCAAGAGGAAGGCGCTGAAGCTCCCACTACCTTGGCACAGACAACACCACATCTCATCATGTATGACCAGGAGAACAAGCCAAGACAGACGTCGCATGAAGACACTAGGGCGCTCACATCTTCCTTATAACAGTAATGATAAACAAGCTAATCTTGCATAACAAAGAGCACGACTTTGTAAACCATGTATGACCACATCAAGCCAAGACACATGTCACGAGAAAACACTTGGGCGGTCAAATCTTCCTTATAACAGTAATGATAAACAAGCAAATCTTCATACCAAAGAGCACGACTGTGTGGAACAGAAAATAAAACTTGCTACGATGGACACACAGTTCAAGATTTCACCACTTGCTCACCATTTAAAAAGGTCGCTTCCTTTTGAAGCTCATCCATACCACAGGTTCATTCGATTCGTCTCATCACTAAAGCAGCTCTCATCTGCAAAGCCAAAGAGAGCCCAGAAGTTAGCACACCGAGAGAAAAGAAGCGTCATGGTACAAATGCAGGATATCAGCCATAAGTCAAGATAGCTTGCTTAGACACATGAGAGACATGACTCAACGATCACTTCATGTATGGTATTGCATGACTCAATGATCACTTCATATATATGGTATTGCATGACTCAAGCGTCTCGGACATAGTCAGAACATGTACAGCAGATAAGCATAATGAACGCACGAAGCACGATCGCATATAACGGTCGTCTAAAAAGCTGTTCACTCGTTAACGCATCTGATGCTCATCAAATGCACAGCTCATCACGTACATCTACGCACTCCAATCGCCATGTCAGCAATGCAAGTGACAACCATTAGCAAGAAAATCGAGGATAACTAGCAATATCTAGGTGACTTGTAGAAAGAATGAAGAGAGGAACATCATTACTAAGAGTACATCCTCAATAGCCTTGTTACGTACTAATTAGGTACGTACTCACCAAGTAGGTATGGCAGTGGGAGCAGTGCCAGGAGCGCCTCCACCAGCGTTGGCGAAGGCGTTCTTGATTCTTCTGATCTCCTTGGTGGCCCACGTGGCGAGAGTGCGCGTCTTGTTGGTCTTGGAGCGACGGCCTTGCAGCAGCAAGTTTCCTATGGGCTCCACTTCGACCAGCTCCAGCATTTGAGCGTTGAAAACGCTGCATAGGTCGCTGCAACACAAAAAATACATAATAAATTGTGCATCAGCAAAATAAGAGTCACCCACCAAAAGTTAACAAATAATATTCGTACAACACAAGAATCACCATAAGTTAACATCTAGTGTCGCTACACTACAGGAAAACTCATGGGCTTATAAATTGTTTGTCGTACCAACTTCCCGATACTATGTCATGAAAATGCATTAGTAAAAAAATGTGAACAAGCCATCAAAGTGCTAACCTAAGTTAGTATCATTGGGCTTTCAACAAGATCCCAGATAGAATACACATAAATAAGTATGTCATTTTGATTGCTCGCTCACCCAACGAGTCCCGCTGAACTGGCAACGACAGGGTCAGACTTTTCGTCATCAGACGCGACGTTTGTAATAAAGGACATGATGAAGGGCACGTGTTCACGGAGGAGCTGCACTTCAGGATTGGGGGTGTCTTCGGCGCCTTTGAGTCCTTGCACGATGCCGGTGTAGGCATCCAGGCAGCTCTCGCGGAGTTCGTTCAGATAGTCCACCATGTCGAAATCGTTGCGGTCAACCTGTACCGTCACAGACACAATTAATATTAACCATCATAAACTTGTATATATTGATGATTTTAGAAAAATATTATCGTCTGACAATATTCACTTAAATTTAATAGAACAAGCCAGAAATTTAGTTCTTTTACACATATACATTACTTCACCCTCCCACAAGTCTTCTACAACGAAAAAGACAAATTGGTGTCTAACACTATAACCTCAATGTATTCAATGAGGCGGCGTCCAGGGTGTCCTGGAACTGACGAGTTCAAAACGCATACTAATGATACTTAGGGGAGGTTGTAATGAAAAAGTTTTCAAGAAACCAAGGTTATTTTTGAAAACCTACAAAAGACAAGCATAACTCGCTGTCAAACAAGTGAGAGTATAAACCCGACCTGGGCCTGAGAAGCCTGCTGCAGCATGGGCAGAACAATGTCCAAGTACTTGGTAAACTTGGGACCGATGGCCAGTGCCATGTCACCAAAAACAGCAAGGATGGCAGGCTTGACTGCACGATTGACTTGGTCATTGCTGAGGTTCTGAACGAGCAGCTCCATGAGTTCGTCACAGTACGGCTCAACCTGTTCAAAGTGCATGTTTCAGGTTTTAAGCCGCGCAGAGGTGCAAACACCATATATTGAGATCTTATTCTATGCAAGATTCAATCGGGAAGGAATTTGGACACAGAAAAGGGACTATTATGGATTCTTATTTTTAAATAACAATAACAAAGAGAAGAATCCTCACATCGTGTAAATAGAGTAAGAAGATTGTTTTGATTGAATAAATAACTCGTACAATACTTTTATATTTTCAACCAAATCCTTGCCAAAGAATATTTATTGCTGGCAATGCATCAACCTTCAACACTTGTTCTTCTTTATAAACTAACAAAATATCAGCCAGCACTTAAATGTGCTTAACGACTGTTAATAGCAACTTTGTGATCAAAGTTACCTTCTCATTAAGGGCCCTGCAAATATCTCCAGTGACGCCCACAGCAGCAGAGCAGACAGGCAAGACCTCATAGTTGCGGAGACCCATGCCCAGCCAGCCCTTGAAGGCGTCCATGTATTTCAAGAAGCTCGACCCCAACACTTCAACTAGCGTAGACACCGCCAACAAAGCATCTTCTTGCACGCCGCCGCTCTTGCCCTGCTCACCGGCATGATAGGTAAGTATCAGGAAATGGCTATAGCAGTAACCTCCATTAAAAAATTTGCAAGGAAACAGCATTGCAAACATTTATTTAAACAACACGAGGCCGCTTTACCACATTTTGAAACAAAAATTTTGTAGTAACTTTACCAACTAATTTTTGTTACAATTCAAGAGCACTAGAATTGCACTTCTTATGATAGGAACGAGAATATTTCGAAAAGTAAGCAATTCTTTCTAACCCGCATAGTTTCAGGCACATGTCATAAAAAAATTATCTGGAAAGTTCGGTAGCATTAAGAACATTGAACCGAGTTAAAAAATCAGAACACTGTTGGGCAATATTCACTGGGTTTACCTGGGCTGAGGACTGGAACATTTGAAGGAGAGCCGACATGATGGCATCGCTGATTTTGGGTGCATCCTCCTTGGTAACTTTTCTGAGCACAGACTGGAGGGTGGCACACAGCAGCGACTGGATGTCGTTTACTTGTACGCGGTCGCTGGCACTTTGCACCTGCCAGAAATGATCAAACATAAAAAAACTGACTGACTATAATTATCAGGTTACCAAGGGAAATTTCAATGACCCGAGGATCAAATAAATTTTTTCATTTCTCTCCCTGTGATCGCAGTAGGTGAAATTACAAATACATAAATTGTCAGCCCGGGAAGCAGGAAGAATTATTTACAAGGCAAATCAAATTAGAAGTGAAACGAACTGATTTTTATAAGATGAAAGCAAAAATGGCAAAGACACGTTATTTAGTTGAGGCAGCCTCCACCACAACATCGCCACAACCGAGTGTTTTCTTTGAAGGCTTACTTTTACAACAAAGCTAACTGGTAAATTGTGAAGCAAGTTCAAATAAAGCTAGTATAAATATATAAGAATGAAAAAAAAAATAACTTTTATATGCTTAATATGACTGTTAAGGCGTGATTCATGGACGCATTAAGGAAAGTTCTTCAAACTTTGGACAAAGATTTTGCTATCAGCCCAATAAATCTACTAGGCTTATTACCGAGATGATGGTTTAATTACTGTAATGATTTTTCCATGACTCAAGTATATACTACTGACCTGAGACTCCATGTGAAGAACTTGCTGGAGTCGCTCAAGAATGATGATTGTGGTTCTCTGCACGGTCGAGTAACAGTCTTGAGGAGAATTCTTCATGAGCTCCATGAGAGCTTCATAGGCCGCATTTCTAAGATTGCATTGATTGCCGTCAGGTCGGTCAGTGGTCTCCAGAAGCACACTGACGAGGGCATCAAAGAAGGGCGAGAGGCAGTAGGTGGGGGGTTCACCGTCCATGTCGTTGGCATCAGCGTGCTCGTAGGCGGCCTCAGCCAGCGAGCTCAGAGCCCAACACACGTTCGCTGCTACGCGCGGCTCAGCCTTCAATAATACGGTATACCTCGTCAGAAAGCACTTCAGTGCAAAATTTCATGTGGCAATAGTTAGTTAGTTAGTTTAGTGACCCTATGATTACTAGCGCTTCAGCTGCGAAGCTATCTCGCGCCGAATGTCACGTTGGGCATTATGGGCTAAGAAAATATTGCATCACATGTATTCAGCGTTGACCAGATCATATACAGTCGAACATGTTTATTGCTCTCATTGACGGGAACACTCGTACGCTCGGATGTAGCTTTGGTTGTCGTGGGCGCAGCAGGTTGTGCGCTTGACTAACGTTGCAAGACGGGCGCCACTCCATCTGCGCGGCGTTTAAGCAGCCCCCCGCCTGCCCAGGAGTCCCGCAGCTAACCCTTGCCACGCATGACTATTGAAGCTAGCGGGTCGGGTCTAGGTCCCCGCCAGGGTTCGTCAATCCAGCGAAAGGTCTTTGCGTATCCGTAAGAGAGCCAGGTCGTTACCAGAAGGGCGTTTTGCCATCTCTGTTAGTCTGGACTCTCCACCCGAGCCACTCGGTCATGATTGCATCTGAGACCGCACAGCCTCGGGTCTCATCGAGACACGCAAGCCCCCCCCCCACGACAAGGGCGAGATGGCACGGGGGGGCTCATGTGGCAATAAATTTGTTTCAACTCCATTCATGGAGAAACCAAAGGGAGATAGAAAACGAATTTCTCTGGGCAGCAGCTACCCACTAAGCAACCGTGTTAGATGAAATTGATGCATTATAATTTTAAACAAGAATATTCCACTTCGTAACACCGGCCAAAAATATACACATTATTTTAGAATATTTGTGATTATGATTATTTTAGCCATAGAGGACAGGACAAAGGACTAACCTCATTACACAACAGCACTACAGGACACACAACAACCACAAGAAAGACATTACAGAACAGAGAACTGATCTCATGACACAACAGAACTAACCTTAAGACTGAACACGAGGGCCTCGAGCAGAACATTAAGATAGGCCTCATTGACGGCAGCGTCAGGCGACAGCTCGCACACACGGCCGAGCGTCCAGGCGGTGGTGTCGCGCACCACGACCGAGCTGTCCTTCAGGGCGTTGATGAGCGTAGGCATTGCTTGCTCCACCATTGGGCGCAGCTTCGTGGGGTCTGGTCCCTCCAAGATGGAGCCTGAAGTGCGGCCATTACATTAAGTTTGTTTCCGTCAGTGCCAAAATAATAGAGGGCTATACATATTAAAAAATTTGTAATAGGCATTCACACTATAATGGCGAGACACCAGTACAAACGATAAGTTCAACATGCAACAATGTCAAATCTTGTATGTATTTCATTCTGCAGTAATTGAATAATTCAGAGGGGAAAACCTTGCCAAAAGATATTGTTGGTCTGATTTTAAAGTGGTTGAATGAAGTGAAAAGCCTCACCAAAAGCCATGATGGCGGCATCTCTAAGGTTCCAGCTGCTGCTGTTGATGTTCTCATTGACGAAGGGCAGGACGTGTGGGACGATGTCGTCCTCAACACACGTCGCCAGCAGCATGATGCACACACCAGCTGCCTTGCAAGGGTTCCACTCGTCATCATCATCCGTCTCCTCTTGCTTGCTGAGCGTCATCATGAGCACCGGCACCAGGTACTGTAAGGCAGCAACAAGAATGTTTCTTCATCATTGTGTAACATAATTGTACTTAAATTAAAATTACTCACAGGGTATAACTAGAACACATAGAAACTACCTACCTTCTAGAAACTAAGATGATTTTGTTGCTCAGATCAGAACCTTTGCATTAGTTTTTTTAATCAGGCTTATAGCAAATATCCAGAAACTGTTTCCTCACGTTTCTCAATTGTTTTCTCATGGTTGGTTGTGAGAAAATTCATACATACAGTAAATTTACTAGGTCAATATAAAATCTAAGTAACAAATCTGAATTGAAAATTTCGTCATAAATGGCCCCCTTTGGCAAGCACACTAGTTTAATTAGCAAGTTACACACAGGTAGCAACTCAAGAAACATGCCACTCATGAACGATGTTACGAACCTGCAAGGCGCCTTTGGCATAGAAGCGTGAAGTTCTCTCAGGAGGTTTGCCCATTTCCTCCGCTTCTGACGCCTCAATGGCGAGGTCCACCTCCTCATCACATACGTTGCTCCAGAATTCTATGCCCTGCAGAGCTACCTCGTCGCTATCGCTTTTCATTGCTTCCAGGGTTATCTGCAAAAAAAAAAAAAAAAAAAAACGTTCCAGACAATAAGTTCTTCAGTGACATAACCGAAGTAAGCCTTTGCTCCCATAACAGCAAAGAGTTCATGAATTTCATTGGCAGTGAATCCAATTGAATTAACCAATATTTAAAAAAATACTAATTTTATCGCTGACATGGGTGAATAGTGGTTGTCATTTGGGGAAGAAGTTAATTGCACCAACGTAACTTACATGTATACAATAACGATTGAGTTTAGCACATTGATACACTTACCACACAATAAAGTAATATTATAGTTTATTAGAACTCACAGCAAAGAGAGCAGGTCCCATGTAATGCTCCATGTACTGGTAGTAGAGCGACATGATCTTAACGAGGCACTGAAGCGCCGCCACTTTTATTTGCGTGTTCGAGGACTGCGTTGCCTCACACACAACCTTGTGAAAATACACAATCATTATAGGCAAGTATCCAGTTAGAAGTTACCGTCAAAGTAAAAACTACGGGGGCATGATGAACTATGTTGCTATGTGCTGCCGCGAGGGCATTACATACTTTGTTCAACAATGGCCACAATGAAACATCATCATCCATTAGAAAAAAATTTCCAATAGCAAAAAATTAAAATTTCACTTAGAATGAATTGATTCATCATGAGCATAATAACATTCAACCAAGTTGTAGTTAACTTAAAAATTACAATAAAAATATAGAATTCATACACCCCTTAATTACCACGAAAAATTCATCCATATCTCCCTGGGAGTAATTGGTCCGGTAGGGTATATATAATTAATCTGCAGGTAATTCACCTGCATGATGAAGTGTCGCTCGGTCTCGCGGTCAAAGTTCTGTTTGGTGAACTCCAGCGAGTTGAGCAAGGCGTTAGTGGCCGCAAGCCTCACGTGCTCGTTAGGCTCGCCGCTCTTCATGCCGTGCACGATGGCAGTCAGGATGTTGTTGCTGAAGCTTGCGATCACATCGGGCTCGATGTCCTATAAGAAACCAATTAAAAAATAGGTACTAATAAAGATGAACTTAACACTTCAACACATCCATCAACATATCAAGTACGCAATCAAATCACTGCAATTTTTTGCAAACATTTCATTATGATAAAATTAAACCTTTGATAAATTTCTTCAAAAGGAATCTTAAAGAAACATCGACTTCACAAAATAAGGTTTCACCATCATACAAACAACGCGTCATTGAAAGGGACCGTTTCGGTCAGAAATAAAACTTTTTTTATTTACGGTCGGATCGTTTTGAAACTTGATATACATATGTAAAACAAAAATCTATGGCCTTTTTGTTCGTGAAACTATTTCGAAAGATGTGAAAAACGTGAAATAAATAGAAAATGACAAAGAAGGGAGTTCTGTAAAAATCTGTTTTTTTTTCCTAATATCTTCAAGCTGCAACATCGAGAGACATATCATTCGATGCGTAAAGACCATGTCTTAAAAATCATCCGGAAATTTTTTTTTTTATGCTATTTTTTTCATTTTTCAAAGTTTTTTCAATTCCGACTCCAGCCCTTCATTTTCTATCTATACAAAACAAAAAAGAAATAAAGAAATGACCGGATAATCTCTTTTTTGATATTTGTGTATACAGAAAAAGTTCATTCTGTATAAGTTCAAGACGGCCTAACGCAAAAAACATTGCATATACCTCCGTTGTACATACTTGCTTTCTTGAACGCGCATCGTTTCTAGCTTTCACACGAGTGCAAAAACTTTGCAATTAACGCAAATAATGATCTATAAATACCATTTTAAAAATGAATATTTGTAAATATTGTTATAAAATGGTAATTTTATGAATTTCAAAACTGCTTTACGCAAAAATTATAACATGTACATACATTGCACACTAGCTTTGTTGAACGCGTCTGTTGAACACTTTACAATTAACGAGAATAATGACCTATAAAGAGACCAAATTTAATTTCCAGAAATCTTTTTATATAGTGTTTAGAAAAGTTCATATTATATATTTTTGAAATTGCTTAACGCAAACCTAGAGCACGCACATACATGCGGTTTGTGGCGTTAGACGCACCTTTTCAACAGCTACAAAATAAGCCAAGAAACCGGAAAAGCCAAATTTTAAATTTTTGACCAAAACGGTCCACTCAACCTTCTTGGGCTGCACACTTATAAATAACTCAACCTAGACCCATGAATGGTATATTTTTCTTCAGCTTGACAAGGACTAAACAGTGTTAGAGCAACAGTGTACCTGGCAAATGTATCCAATAGCTTCGAGTGTGGCCTCTTTGATAGCATCAGTAGCACCAGGAGCCGTGACGTTAGTGCAGAGACGTTCCATAACTTCAGGCCACTGCTGCACTGGCAGCTCCGTCACGGCGATGTACGCTACACATTGCGCTGCTGAACTCGGACGAGTCAGCTCAGTCCCAAGAGCTCCTAGCACCTGTAGTAATAGCAGATACAGTGCATTAGATCCTCTAATCCATTTAATTTACTATATGGAATTACTAGGGTTTATACAACATGAACGCATTCTAGAGGAAGAATCATAATGGCAAAAGTTGGAAAACAAATCCTTCAAGTTGGATGAAAGAAACGTTGCTTCAAATGAAACGTAATAAATGAATCGTTCTTGTTTTCAGTTTTACTGTAAAATTCAACTAACCAACTGAGTTAAGGAATATAAAATTCAGATTAAGGACAAAAAAAGGTGCATAAAACTGGAAAATATTACAACATAAAGGACAAAATAACGAATACAAAATACAAAAAAATTATTTCATTTATGCCTGATCATAAAACTTACATTGTTCTTGATGTAATTTCTGGTGTCAATAGGGAAGGCCAGCCACCTGCGCTGGTACTCGACTTTGACTTTAGGATCATTGGATGCGAGCGTGTTCTTGAGCTGGATGCCCGCAGCCATGCGAGCTACGCCCGAGTTGCTGCCATGGTGCAGCACGTCACTCAGCACCTTCACATAGCCTGGCTGCAAACAAATATAAAATCTCAGTACTGTAGGTGGTCGACTGTCAATAATTGGTTCTAGTCTATTAGCGATCTACATTAAATTATGCTCCAATTGATAACCTAAATAGGTTTACAATGTGCATGAAGATAGCAACAAATAAGAGACTTCACTCAAATCCTACAGTTCAAAATACATCATCGAATTAAGAAGTTTCTTATTTTTATTAAATTTGACAAAGGAACCAAAAGTTTTGTATTATCATGCTTAGAAATATTTTATAAATTAAGCTATTTTCATGCCAAAATATCAATACTTGAACAGTTGGAAATTATAAAAAAAAAGGTCAGCACAGCCCAAAAAGTGTGCTGCCCTGTTATATCAGAAAGCTCTATAAATAAATTAGCAGTATGAAATAAATGTTTTAAATAACATAGTGCTTACCAGGTTAGCTTCAGCTGCTTGGTTGAGATATTTTAGGGCTGCTTCCAACTCATTTTTATCTGAAAAATCAACATGAATCAATAGGAGGCCTGACTTGAAGGTATGAACCTTCATAAACATTAATATTGGGGCACTTGAGTACTGTCAAGCCTCTGGCATACAGAAATGTACAAAAAGGATTGTACAAATTCATGTTCTGCATATTTGCAGAAAATAAACTTAAACACAGGTCTCATGTATGCAGGCACCAAGCAAGGTTTTGAGCAACGGACATGAGCTACAGAGGATTAATGAATGCATTTTGTTCAGTTCTTTGATACTTCTAGATTCATTAAAACCAATATCATAGAGCATTAAGTGACGTTTTTACTCAATGTTTTACTTTATTTTACTTCTAATTTGGGTTGAGCTATTGGAGACAGTACAGTTGACAATGCCAGCTAGGTTCAAGATAATATTATTATCAACATAAGCATCAACTATCATGGGTGATAGTTCAATGCCATCTACCTGTGAGTAAATGCTTAACGTGTAATTTGAGAGGTCAGAATTTGCCGCCCCAGATTTACCGTATTACTGACAAAAAAAGGGTGCTATCAATAAAAAAAAAGTCCTACAACCAATTTAAGCCACTATTTTGATGGAGTGTCAAAATTTCCCTAATAGGATTGCGCTCAAGCATAAAACTTCACTCAACAATGGAGCCATTTCATAAAATGAGGACATGGACTGTTAATTTGTTAATTAAAATAACATTCCATGAATGGATTTTTCAAGAGGAAAATCATACTAAAAGGTTATGACCGATTTATGTGAAAATGGGCAAAATGCCTTTTTATGAGGTAGAATCAAGATGGATGACCTATTTCAGGATATACCAAGTTGTGAGCATTTTATATGTACATGTATAAATATTATATATTTACACACACATACTGACTGAAAGGCATGGATTATATATTTACTTTCCAAGCCACGACAATAGCTCCTCCAATTTTGGAGCCAAAAGACTGTCAGTAAATGAATAATCTCCTTTATAAATTACTTGGAGCCACAATTTTACTGGGAAAAGTAAGATTTATCCGATCATGCTCACAGCAATCAATATACTCTTTCAACTTACAAACAAAGAAAAGTACATTAGAACACACTAAGTTACTGTTGAAATAATTTCTTTTTCTTTTGGCACATTCATATGAGGGCTAAGTTAGAGACACCACTTAAAACCCACATGTTGACAGATGAAATTACCCATGAGATATTTTTATATTTAATTTTACTTGAAATATGGAATGCTGACTCAGAAATATGTTCAGGAAAGCATAATTGAAGAGCTTTTGGCAGTAGACCTCAAATACACTGCACCAAAAGAAATTGCCAGAAGTTAGGATGTGCAAAAACCTTACATGGAAAACAGTAAAATATTTAAATGACAGACTGGCCCATTTTGTCTTTGACCCAAGACAGGAATTTTGTAATCTTCAAGGTTAACAGGCAGCTTTATTCAGTCAACTAATGTTTGGGTTTTATATATGAACTGAATCTTAGTGTGAACAAAGGAATCTCAACAAAGGAAATATGAATACAGACATCTTAAATTACACCCACATCATTTAGCTTATCAAGAGGTTCATTCTGTTTACTTGCTTGGCTGCATTTAGCAAGATTTGCAACCAATAGGTCCCAGAAAAGTTGTTACCACGTATCTTGAGTAAAAAAAACAGTATTTGACAACAACAATAATTTATAGTACATGCTCACCATATTCCAGGGCTTTAAAAGAAGAAGCCAAAGTACAATGATAGGTACAAAAAAATATTTAAAAAATATTATAGCAGTTTTCAGTACCAATAACTATTTCAATCCAATTTATAAATTAAACTGCAATAACAGTGAATATTTTCTCACCAAAATAGTTTTATTGTAACAAAAATTTTTCAGCAGTTGTTTGGTCCCAATTTGAGAGAAGTTTATAGCATTGTTGTTTTGGTGCCGCCATAAGCAAAGTCTAATGCTAGGGGGATTGAAACAAGACTTAAGCAAGATAGGTAGGCGCTTGTGAGGAAAGTGTATTTGAGTATGTACAGAAGCAGCACCCCAAACATTGGTAGACAAGGCTGATGTAAGGTTACAGTTAAATGAAATAACAAAAACATGTAAAAGGCAATTCTGAAGTAGTTTGGATAGTTTGCAAGAGGTTCAATATTATAGAAAATTTCAAGAAAATTATATTTGTTCAACTGATTATAACAAAGGCACACATTGGATGTCCCTACAAGTTGCTTGTGTTTGTCTTGAACCCATTGGCATTGACTATTGATAAATTTGACATTGTCAATGCTGTTTGTACATAAAGACCTGAGAACAAGAGGCCTTGTCAGAATACAAAGAGCTAAGCATGTAAACAATTTTTTCTAATATAAATACAATGCAGCAAAGAGCAACTGGAATGGTCTAATCATTGGCCACTTTCTGGTGAAACTCTGGTAGTCAGAATGCAGCCAAGTCTAAGAGTGAGGTTTTCGCAACCATCATGTAAAATTCTTGATCTGTCTGAAGCTTGGCCAGTCACTACCCTGGAGCTTATACTCTTTGTAATATGATATCTTAGCCAGCCCCATTCTCACGGCAACTGGTTGCTTTCAGGTGGCTGAGGAATGGCCAGCGGTCGGCTATAACTAATTGGACTAGGCCAACCACTGGCCACGTATTATTCCTTGCCCCTCATTGAGTTTACCTTCACCAGGCTGCCCGTCATGAACTGACAGCCGAGTAATTTACAACGTCTCTTTCCCCTCATACCTTCAACAACGCTTACAATTGAGCAGTTAGTTTGAGGGATTTTCTCTCTGCGTATCAGCAGGCTTTGTCATAACTATTTTTTGAGAGATAATATTTACAACAAGGAGGCTGATCAAGAAATGCCTAATATACCATTCAATGGAGAATAACAATTACAATTCATTTATATCTAAAAAAAGTGTATAAGTCACAGACTTGATGAACAATAAAATTAAAAGTTTCTTGAAATTTCCTTTCATTGAAACTTTTGATTCAAAGTTTACACATTTTTTGTTACTGGTTGCCACTTATAAATAAATAGCTGGGTAATCATGGAAAAATCCATATCACCATCTCAATTATGAGTGGAGTTAAGTATATCCTAATTTTCAAAGAAACTCATAGGGAAGAGCCAAGCCTGTTCAAAGCCTTGCAGTTCTCAATCAGAGACTTAATGTAGATAAAAATTCCTAGTAGTAATATTTTTTGCATCCCACTGACCCTTACCCAATTTTTTATATTTTTTGCTTTGCAAGTGATAGACATATCTTCCAGAAATTGTGGCAGAAATTTCTTAAAATTGCAGACAAAAATTATTGGCTTCACAGGTGATTTAGTCATTGATTCTGAAAAATTGCATGTGAAAAAAGGTAGTTCTTATTTTTACTGAAAAATGATCTTAAAAGGGATAAAATTTGCTGCATTTACAGGCTTATTTCTTATTCTGCAGGTGGCTTCTGTAAAATTTTCCAATTTTGTTACACAATGTACAATATAATTCTTTCAATTGATTTTCTTACAGTTAAGTGAGCTAATAAGGATATTTATACACAATGTTAATAACTTTAGCACATTATAAAAGTTATAATTGAATACAAATAAACATATTCTGTACTAACAACTCAAAATTTGGCATATTACTTAAACAGAAAAATACATAGACAGAAGGAGGGCCTATGTCAGGTGTGATTGTTAATGTTATTTGCGATTTGAACTTAGATATTCCATTATAATTAACTTCCTTGTTGAGAGATAATTCTATTGTTTGGGGTATGTCTATGAAATCTTCATCATCAATACCCTCTTCCTATTTACCTGGTAGCAAATCACATCCTTGTGATGTTGGCCAATGGCCATGCACCGTGATCATGTGATGCACAAGTTATAAAACACTACTTAACCAGAAAGTCTTGGCAAGACTGCAGTTCCTAGCAGGAACTGCAATCTGCAGTCCTGGGCAAGAACCAAAGTCTGAACCATCATGTGCAAGCTCTTACTCCTATTAACATTAATAAGATTTTATAGTGAACCAGAATTAGGAGTATAGAATGATAGACAAACCAATTACAGTAGGGTAAGCGCGGTATATTCCGACATCATGGGTAATTCTGACACCTCTCTAGTTTTTCCTTTATATTAAGTTTTGTTTTAGTTCCATGCGTTCGTTGATGGTTGAAATAGTGACGTCATACATTTGCGCGTCGAACTACTGTCAAAACACTAGGTCTGGGCCATCTAGCGGGAAAATGTTGAGATCCAAAGAGAGATGGTGCATGCCACCCAATGAGATCATCGAAAAATTTGTCAAAGTTGACAGTTGACCTTGCTCTACCAAATAGTGATAAAGTGTTTGTGTAGAAAGAATATTATGGTTTGAGACTTTTAAATACATCTGTGAATATATTAGGAGTCATTTAAGCAGTGTGGAAATCCAAAGGGGTAATATATTAACTGGTAAACATAGCAAATTGGAAAGCAGGACCCAAAAATCTGGAACGTCCAGCACACTTCCACTTTCACTCCATCATCATCACTGATGAGTCTCTGCAAGATGCCACAGCTGTTTCTTTGAAAAAAACAGTGCTTGCATCATCACAGTAACAAGCATCCAATCAACGCTCGAACGCGTCCAACGTAACAGTTACAAGAATCCAATCAATGCTTGAACGCGTCCAACGTCACAGTCAAATGAATCCAATCATTGCTAGAACGTGTGCAACGCCAGTCATAAGAATCCAATTACCATCAGAACGCGTGCAACGTCACTGCCACTGTAATCCAAACAGCGTTAGAAAGCTAGAATGGACCGCCCCAAATGCACACATTGTTAACGCACTAATGCTAATTTAATAGGTAATGCTACATTTCTTATTTCAAGCGCCTAGAACAATAATGTATTTATGTCAATATTGATGAAAATCTAAAAGAATAACATCTTTACTTTGTACATTCACTTGTGAGTGATGAGTTTCTACTGGTGTCAGTAGCGACCTTTTAACTTCTACTGAGCACAACGTGTTCTACTGAGCACAACGTGTCTTTCAGTAGATTCCTCTTGCTTATCCGTGAGTGACGCGCACAATTAACAATATTGGGATTTTCTCTGTGTTGCCTGACGTAACGTTCATGCCGAGGCCGATTTCTGACGACCTGCAAACCTGTTTCTAGTTGCCACTTGCCTGGAATGTTTTTTTTTCAAGGCGGAACACTTTTTTTTAAGTGAACTTCTAATCTTAGATTTCCACTCTGCATTTAAGTATACTTGTATTTGCTGATTTCAAGTCGTAAATGAATTAATAGATGATTAAGTTGAGAAACGCATTTAGACACATAGAAAATAATTCCGACACAACTTGAATTGGACACACACAGCTCGTTCCAAGCTGTGTGCAAAAATTAAAATTTTCTTAATTAAGAGCTTAATAACTGTTAATTAAAAGCCTAATTAAGTTGTGCTCAATATTCAATAGTGTTCTAATTCAAAGCCGTATCGTATCCCAATACAGCTCCCACAGTGATCGGAATTGGAACACGTGGACGTCGGAAATACGTATTAGTACAATTTGAAGCGCGGTCGGAATACGTCTCACCATGTGCCAAATATAGTCACACACAGTGTCGGAATATAGGGATTTGGTAGGTTTGCGTTCTAAAGGCTTTTAAATAAATATGGCAACATTTTGTGACGTTTCATTGTTGCTGGCACGTAGTATGGTGTTTTGAGAGTTGCATAAAGCAAACCAAACTCGTGTAACGCATACGGTAATGGGTAATTTTTTGTAGTTTTTCATTTCTCGATGCGTCCTTAATGTGTCGGAATATACCGCATTTACCCTAACAGTAGTGTTTGAGCTCTGAAAGTGACATACATAAGCCTTAGTTTCGTAATCCATTCCATCAACTGTGATCCTTATACCTATATTATAATCATCAAACTATACTCTATTAAAATTAAATGGCACGCTGTTTCACAATAACCCTCATAGTCATATCACTATCACTGTGAGTGCAGAGTGAGTATCACATATCAAACAAATCCCAGGTCATATTTATAACTATCAAGTGAGGCTCTGATGGTGGCAACAGCCAACAGGAAATGCACCCCCTTAAAATGAATTAAACTTAAGGGTTAACCCATAAACTTAGTTGGTGTTAACTGTTAAGTGTAAACCAATCATAAAATAAAGCATGATGTTAAATCATATAGTTCATGAGCTAGTTCTGAAATACAGGATGATTATTTAATTTATCAGTAGATTATTCCCCACGTCTTAAAAGTCATATATTTTGATCATCTGATCGAATCCAGTTGGAAATGAAGCATGACTAGGCCGCTACTGCCGTACTGCGCTACAGAAGCCAAGCCCGAAAATCCGAGCCTCCGTGCGATGAAATTCTGACATAACTGCCGAAATTTTAACGGATTTAAAAACTCGTATTTAGGTATTATAATCTCATATCAAAAAGATCGATGTCATATTAATCATGTCATAGCTACTAAAATCTAACATTGAGGGCAATGTTCGGACAGCGTGCATCAACGCATCCATGAAAAGGTACCGATAAAAATCACTATTAATAACCACACAGATCTTCAGTATTTCACATTTAAAGCTTAAACACTCAAACTTACCAGCAGACGTCGTTTTTTCTAAAATTTGGATTAGTTGTTCCATATTTATGTATGAGAAATGTCTTATATTTTAGAAACCTCTAGCCTACTTGCACTCGCGCCACCGGGAGACCAACATGTGCAGCGTAGGAATACAACCACATATTACAATCATTCATACATTCGAAATATTTCATCAATAGCAACCATATAAGGTACTTTTAGTCATTTCTCGACTTAGAGATGAGTCAATTATGCAATCATACGAATAATAGATGAATATTTTGAAAGAACTAGATTGCCAATTCCTCAATCGCGATGTGTTCTACGGTTTAGAACAAATTGTAACGAAAAGCGCAAGAATTTGAATGTTCTCGTGTTTCAATTGACACATAGGGAATAACAAGGAAGGAATTATCTGAGAATATATTTTGAATCATATATCACATTTTATTCGGATATAGCATGTTGGTTGTGCGGTTTTACATCGTTCGTGGAGAACAAAATTAGTCGATAAAATCATTCCACCATATACTATTACCATTTTGGATTTGATATATTTCCCCAAAAAACTGTCTTAAAATGCCTGATTTTGAGATAGATTTTTATATATCAGGCTGCTTCTCGGTTTCCGTTTTGACAAACGTGCGTTCATATAAGTACTAAACCGACATTTCCCCGAATTCGTTGTGGACTCGACGGTGAACTCAGACGTTTTACAAGAGCCCAGCGCATAAGTTCAATTATAAATCAATTTGTAAGAAACTAGAGAGATATTAGTACAAATGCTAAATTTCAATGGACGTTGCCAGCAAAATATGTTATTTTTAAAGCCACTCTGTTTTTTAATCAGATGCAAAACGCAAATTTTGTGCTAGTGACCAACTCATACGAAAGAATTTATTTGTTTGGTTAAGACAAGTGGGCTAAATAAAGTAACTGTAACGTAATAATATAAATTATAACCGGCCTTTATTGCTAAAAAATGTTGCCATAAAAATAAAGTAGGCTCGAAAAACTTAAGACGGTGATCACGGCCGCAAATAGTTACCAATGAGATACGTTTTCAATTTCAACTAGATAGTTTCATATTTGATTGCCTAGTGAGTTGGATTGTGCATGAAATGGATGTCTATTTATTGAATGAAAATTGGATTGGAGCTCATGACAAGCACTTAAGACCAGAATGGACCGCACTAGAGGCGTATAAATTCATTCCTAATTAAGATCTCTTTATTATTTCATCACTAATACGATGCACCTCTTTGGCATTTTTCTTCATTGGCACTTCATTCGTTAGCACTACATTGCCTGGTGTAAGATTCTCGCTCAATCTATTTTTCTTAAATCGTAAACATCAGCTGGACTACACCACGGATTGCATTCGCCCACCCTAACATAACCTCAATAATGTTAGTCTCAGCCATCTTTCTTTTTTATTGGTACCGATAAAACTTTAACGTAACCAATATCTAATGGTGCATCCACTTAATTCGTTTAATTCAAGTTGAGCTGTCCGAACGCAAGCTGGTGCCTAAATCGTCTTAATTATACTTTTTTATTTCATTTTATAAAAATTGCCGTAAGAATTCCAGACTAAATTAGTTAAATAGCTAGGTTACTTTTCTGCCTTTTAGCTAATAAAGAGCCAATGAAGAGACTTTAGTTCACGCCTACTTCTGCGCTGCTATATAATTGTTATAACTTATCGCAGGCGGAAGATGTTCACAAATGTCCAAGTCTTTCACCGCTCGCAACATGTCACTATCGTGCTGCAGCATTAGCTATTGCTCAGTAAATGTCCATTCTTTGACGCATAAAATATTAAAATTTCTTTGCCATTCAATTTTTTCTGAAGTGTAACGATTACGTGTATTTCAATACACGCTATCGTATCATGCACAGATAAGAAGCAGGCAGTTGCATGCGGCAGTCGAGGTTGTTCAAGCACAGCACTTTCACCGCGAGCTGCTGTCCCACGTTGCTAGCACAAATCCTGAAAGTTTCTGAATGAACAATTTAAATATTAATGATTTTTGTAGGATGTTTGGCGGGAATACAGCAAAGTAATTAGTGCAGAGTTATGTGACTATTATAAACTAGATTTGTTTAATTAGCACCACTATCCATTATCATAGTATGTAGTATTTGTTTGATATACATTTAGTAGGATATGTAGCCAAATTGAAGCGTAAACTTAAGTTAATTAGATCAATTCGTTTATTAACTTCAACTTAAACTTAGATAAAAAATCATTTTTAGAGCAATTAATTTTAAGATTGTTTGATCATTGCAGAAAATAAATCTTTTTAATTATCTTATGATATCATAACACACTGTTATAATAGCATAACACTCAAATGGTTGATTAATACGCGAGCGTAGTAGATCGCTTACATAAATTATGTTGCTCACTGTTACACAAACTATGCTGTGCAATGCAGTGATAGCGACGAACACGAATCCCGTCATTTGCAAACACGATTAATGAAAAAGTTCTATCGCTTCCAAGATTTTATATGTATTATTTATTATAAGTACATGCATTTCTAAAAAATGCTTTTTGCAGAATTCCATTCTGAATCGTGATTAAGTTTCATGGATAACTTATTAAAATTATTGTCTATACTGCACGTCAAAAAACACGAACCTAATCTCTGTTCCGTGACACCCGTGATGACAGCCGTACGATAATCACGCTATAGGCGTAACACCTCTACCGGTTGACAGCTATATAAGTCGCGCTTCCAATGGATACCTTCACATTTCAACTTCAGGCACTCCATTAATCAGCCAGCAAAGATGACTCTTCTGTTCAAGCCGGTAAACATTTAACTTAATAAACTGTCGACTGGAATCTATCTATATCTGTTTGACTTTTAATAGACGCTGATGAGACGTTATCCGAAAATGAAAGAACTTCAAATTATTATGAAATAACTTTTCTCCAAATATTCTGCCTTGGCTCATATAAAAAATGTTCTTGATTAGATTTAACCCCAAATTTAATCATGGTAGTTTTTACAAGCATACTTCATATATCTCAACAGTACTCTGGAAATATGTGCAGTTTTCCTCAACAATCCTGGTATCAGATTTTGTATTGTAGTTGAATTGTTGAATTTGTACAGCAATGCCTAATTACCAGCAAAAACTGGTCACCTCGTCGAAATCGGCCAGAATTATTCGCAGCTACCCGGCTATCGAACCTGCAACTCAGTCATTGCTGCAACTTTGTTGTTCTTAGCTAGTTATCCGCCTCGTTCAAATCGACCAGGAATTTTAGCAGCTAAGTGGGTCATAATTCATAAACCCTAGTAGCTTAAAAAAACTCACTGCTTTAATCTAGTTGTACATAACCACCAAGTTACCTCGCCGATTTCAACCAGAACTTTAGCGCTAGCTAATGGTTGAACACGAAGTCATTGTTCCAATCCTAATGTTCTTTACCAAATGACCTACTCATCAATTTCTATCATTACTTTCACAGCGAGCATTACTTTATTATTTAGCTAAGAATAGAGCACACTGATGTTGAAACTTTTCGCTACTGCACGGACTTGAATCTTTTGTATGAGTTGATGAATATACTTCCATTTCATTAGATATTTTCTAACCTTTCACCACCAGATGTCGCTGTGTGTAGTGTTCGTCTTACTAAGCGCTACGGCCGCGCAGCAATACGCTTCACCACCCGCACGACCTACATCTTATGGAGGTGGAGGCGATGGAGGGGGCAGCAATGATTCTCCGGTAACAATCATCATTCCATTTGTCCAGTTACATTCTTGTAAACTACCACTTCTGATTAAACTTTATGATTTGCTTACAGTTACAATAGTAGAAACCTGATTATGACTCTTTATAATAATGTAACGAGGATCATTTAGATTTTAAACGGAACCTCAGTTTCAGCTGATTTATTACAACACATCTCTTTAATTTCACTTCTTGTTTGTTTGTCTGCTACAAATCTTATAATCGATATATTACACAGTTCTACCAGTCCAATCGATCTGAAAATTTGAACACTTGCGTGCCTCCCCGATGACATCGTTGGAGCTCCAAGTATAAACGCGTTCAAGAACAGACTAGATAAAGCTATGGAAAAATATATGTTCAGATTTGAAATGCCTAGCTCCTTATCGAACCCGGTGGAAGTCTAGTAGCTACTTCAAACTATCGCCAGTCATGAAAAGATCCGATCAAATGATACGAGTTTAGATCTATGAACAAGGCACGAAAAGGAAAAGAATCGGCGACAGGCCACATCAGGCCTACATTTCAGCGCCGACATCATTATGTTATGTTATGAACTCAGAGACAATGCATGAATCAATTGACAGAATAAATAATTTTTGGAATTTAATTTTTTATTCTATTAAAAAAATAGAAAAATTAGCTTTTTTATTATTCGGGAAAAAATTAGAAATTCATTGTACATATGTAACATTGGAGACACTGGATTCTTTAAAAGTGTTGTCTCTAAGAAATAATTTTTAAACGTATATTATTAATTTTTACTTGTCAGCTGATTTGTGGGATTTATTGATTTATTTATTTTAATTACTATACATATGGAATAGTTTATTTATCTACAGTTGGTTGTATACTAGTTACAGTATAGTTGAGATGTTTATATCATGATTAAGGAATATGCAATAAACACTTATAATTCTGCAGGCTTCATACTCGTATTCCTACACCAACAAAGACGCTGCATCTGGCAACCAATTCGGCCACGGCGAAGAGCGCAACCGGGACTCCACTCAGGTGAGACCTCATGCAGAGGCATTCATCATTACGCGTCTGCAACCAAAGATACATTAGTTTTTGGTATTAATATTGTTTTAAACTTTAATTTTAAAGGTTTACTGAAATAACGATTGATGGTACGATGCAAAAAATGCATAATTATCTAAATTTGTAGCAAAACGGTCTGCCTCTTGCTTACCTCTTCATGAAAACGTTGCCAGGGTCAGTACCGCGTCCTCCTACCCGACGGACGGACGCAGATTGTGCGCTACAACGTCAACGGCAACGCCGGCTACATTGCTGACGTCACGTACGAAGGCACCGCACACGCCGCGCCACCTAGCGGCGGCGGCAACCAGCTATCTTATGGCCAATAGGTCGCATAAAACAAGCAGAAAAATTTCATATTGTCAAAATAGTGACAGGTTTTCTGCAACTGGAACACATGCGTCATTTTGGCGGGCTAAACTGGGTCAGGATGACCCACCTAGAGGCAAGAAATGCATCAGTACCTATTTTGACTCTCACTCATTTCTCTCTTGAAGACACTGGAGCACAGATTGTTAAATTTGTTGGCCAAATAACCAATTTAGATCGTTTTTGAAATTTGAATCTGCTGAAATATACGTCGATTGCAAATAAACCCTCTCACTTAATTATTGTGTATTTTTAATTTTTAGAAATAATGACGCGTGTTTAACTGGCACTCATAAAGTTATACTTTTTCTTCAGTTGACGCGTTTAAACAATTACAAAACGTATATGATTGCTACAGAAGCTATATACATATAACAGACTACAGGTGTCGATATCGAGCTTGTCGCACCGAGACGAAGATCAAGTTCTTCAGATGCGCTAAACAACCCAGGAAATATATACAATAATTACAAATTCAAGACATTGAATCAGTAAGACCACGGGAATTGGCATTAGAAAATAGGCTTTGGAGTGATAGTTAATATTGAGCAGTGAATTGATAATTAGCACGTAGAAAGCACGTATAATTGATAATGAGCACGTCTTTCTTCAGGGGATCGTTCAGAATGAAAACTCGTTGTGGATTGTAACGGTTTCTGAAAACAAAGAATGAACAATTTGAACACATATTGAGGTTATTCGAGATTATAAACAATATAGAGAAAATAGCCAAGGTTAACAAGCAATAAAAGGATGCTAACATAAGTAAATGATAACATACAAAATTTCTGAACAATCTCGGTCAAGTTTGGTCCAAAATGAATTTTGTCTGAGCCCATTAACTTCGGTCCTACCTATAAAAAGGTCCCAACCTTATGTATACGGGAGAAGTATGTTCAGTAAAATTCTTTACAGCACGTTTAACTCTGAGGATTTCCAGGGCCTCCTCTCTTCTCAGTTGATGATGGGAGATTCATGGTCTCTAATGCCTTCGAAGTCGCACTAGTGATACTAATAATCACTAACATTTGACGGTTGTTGAAGGCAGATTTATAGTGAATTATCTCGACGCATTTACTATACGAAGACTTGTATTCACTATATACAGGGTGCGGCGCGGGAACTTACTTATTTGAATTGCGCGCCACGTGGCGGCCATTAGTCCTAGGAAGGTGGCGCCATGCGCAATATGGTGACAAAATGTATTGAACAGCATGGAGGTCACCTACAAGATGTAATATTCAAGAATTAAACTTGTAAGTAAACCCAACGAAACTTTAAATGTAGCTCTTTGTAAAAAAGAAAGAATTAAAACGCTATCTTTAATACTTTTTACTTTGTGATTTTTTTAAAAGAGTAAGTTCCCACGCCGCACCCTGTACTCTATATGCGCAGTCGCACTACGAAAGTAATACTCGAGACATTAAATGTTCACAATCAAGTTCATACAACATGCACCACTACCCGACCGCATGGTGATTCATATATTAGAAGTGGAAGACATTTCGAATTGGGTAATAAAATCTCATTTTTTAATGAACTCACTGAAGTTTAATTTTTGCTTGTGACACATAAGGAATTGTACGCATGGAAACTTTGTAACATTTTCGAAAGATTTTGTACGTCAGAAAATTCGTGGATTATAAAGAGAATGGATCAGCAGACACAACGCTAATTTCGGAGTGTTACTATATTCTGTGCGGAAAATAAATGTATACAAACGTCGTGGAAACCTCCAGCGGTCTAGCAAGAACCATGAGTAAGAGCCAAGCTTTCAATGTAACACGGAAATCAATTTGTTAATGAAGATGATCAAAATGTGTGAATATGATCTGCTTTAAACTAAGCTAAAATATATAATTATTTCAACAAGTTAAGTATCATTAGATTATCGAAATTTGTCAACTCAAATTTAAATTCCAGCTACATGGTGAATCATGCGTGCCCGGTCACGCGAAGAATCATCCTCCCACCGAGATTATTACATTGAATTTGGACGGCTTCTTAACACTCATTTTTTTGTATGCGAAAAAAAGTTAGTCAAATTTCATCTGGTTGAACTGCTTGCAATTGTCTAAGTAAAAGTCACAACGCAAGAAGCAAAATGTTTGGAAGAATTAGTAAACATTCAAAAATTGAACCGCGCTATAGAACACTCTCAAAGTAATTTCTCTTTAGTTTTACAAAACAAAGATTGATTATTTTTAGGTTGATTGCCGTTAGTTTGGCCAGTTTTGCAGTTGCCAAAGATTTTATTGCGCTTTCGAATGTTTTAGAAACCAATATCATACACACAACGGAAATTATCATTGTCATTTGTATGTCAAGGAAACTTGTAATCCAATTATTTTAAATCTCCGAAAAGAATCCCGAAACGTAACGATGTCTCAATTATTAATTGTTCACTTGGTCTATACAGCAACATTTAACTTTTTAAACAGCAAACATTATCAATAAAGGAAGGGCAGTACTCCTTTTAATCATTGAATGAACGGTCGGAAAAAAACATGTTTATAATGACGATGCACCTCATCTGTCAACGTTGTCTCGTTCTGTTCACTTCCACTTTTATGAACAGGTGACATGTTGAATTCGACCGAGCGGCCATTTTCATGCTTACACAGCGGAGACAATGAGTTTTGCCCTTCCAATGAAGAAGTAGGTGTGTGGAGAATCCGTGAAGAGTAGAAACTGCGATGTGAAGGAACAGAGGGCAAGTTCTCTGTTTCGTATCCTGGAGTCTTTAAGGAGACTGGGGCAGATAACGGAATTCTGCTATCCACTGAAGTGGCAGGAAGAGGAGAGTTGAGAGGTGACGGAAGATAGGGGCTGTTGGAAGGTAGTGGATAGTATGGCAATGGAGAAGGCAGAGGGTAGAGAGGGAGCCTATGGTTTGGTAACGAATGCAAGGCCATCTGAGGTAAGGGATGAGATGAAAATGGGCTGGAAAGTCCAACAAGGAGAGGGCCGAGACCGGTATCGAAGATTGGCCACGGAAAATTTTGCTTCATTCGCTTGTCTTTCATTCTTCTATTTTGAAACCAAACTTTAATTGTGGACTCAGGAAGACCCAATTCTTTAGCAAGGTCACTGCGCCTCGGTCTGGAAACGTAATTTTCTGTATTGAACTCCTTTTCAAGAGCACTAATCTGTTCTTTCGAGAAGGCCGTTCGATATCTCCTGATTTCGTTCGATTCCAGTGAAGTAGACTTCTTGGAGGCACCGTCTGGACCATTGGAACGTTTATAAGCTTTTGGCTGGCACTCGATGTTAGACGAAAAATCTACTTCGTCAAGCTCTTCATCCCCGCTGTTGCTCCTAGCTCGTTTCCTCCTGCCATTCAAGTAATCACTAGCTTCATTTTGTTGAACATTTGCATTTTCTTCTCCCTCCAAAGGTCCAGAAGGGGACTTCCGGGGCGAAGTTCCTCCAGCACCACGCGTCCTGGCCACTGCGACGTCCAGCGTCGTCGACACGGGGCTGCTGGGTATTTGCAGCTTGGCATCGTCTGAAGAGAAAAAATGATTAGATTTAACAAGACAATTCACACAAAATTCAGTCATTTCGATGAATTTTAACGAAATAAAATTCAACTCAGGTTACCGTGCGCCAAAATTGATGAATTCCATATGACGTATTTTAAATACTGCTCACTTGTATGTACTTGACAACTGCTTTCAAGTAATAATTCGTACGCTTGCAAGCGCATCAGAACTTTGTGACTGCAACGTATATAAGGGTACCCACACAGTGAAAGCAGGTTGCCAGCGTGCTGGTTACCTGCTTAGGTTAGCGCCTGAAATTGAAATATATAGGCCTGGCGCTGGCCTATAAGGACAGGTTTTCACTGTGAACACTTACATTATTATCCTATGTTCATTCTTGTGACAGGTTGGAGCAGGTTGCCCGCACGGGCAAACCTGCTTTCACTGTATGGGCAACCTAAGGGTACGTACACAGTGAAAGCCGGTTGCCAGCGTGCTGGTTACCTGCTGAGGCTGGCGCCTGAAACAAGCGCGAGAGGTTCACAGAGGAAGCAGGTTGCCAGCGTGCTGGTTACCTGCTGAGGCTGGCGCCTGAAACAAGCGCGAGAGGTTGTTCACAGTGGAAGCAGGAAACATGCTTGTGCATTCCCTATAACGATTGATAAAATCTCTCAATAATACGAATCATACAGTCAAAACTCATTATAAATGAATAAATCGCATGATAAATTCATCATATAACGAGTCAAACTCTCTGAACCGCTGAAAAGCTGTTAAAAAAATGTTAAGAAGAAATTTGATCATGAGAAAAGCTGAGAATTTATCGAAGTCTGTACTGTCTGTTGAACCTGCACCATAAACATGTCATCACCTGCACCATAAACATAAACATGCCATGTCCCATGTCCCATGTCCCATGTCCCATTGTCCCATGTCCCATGTCCCATTGTCCCATGTCCCATTGTCCCATGTCCCATTGTCCCATGTCCCATTGTCCCATGTCCCATGTCCCATGTCCCATTGTCCCATGTCCCATGTCCCATGTCCCATGTCCCATTGTCCCATGTCCCATGTCCCATTGTCCCATGTCCCATTGTCCCATGTCCCATGTCCCATGTCCCATGTCCCATGTCTCCCATGTCCCATGTCTCCCATGTTAGGTACAACTAATTCAAAAATGACCATATGCCAAGCAGGTTGAGCAGATAAGAATGTGCAGTACATTCCGGTAAATAGGTATAAGCAGGTTGTCGGCAGAAGCCTATTCGTACAGGTTTCCACTGTGAACACTTACATTATTATCCTATGTTCATTCTTGTGGCCGGTTGGAGCAGGTTGCCCGCGCGGGCAAACCTGCTTCCACTGTGTACGTACCCTAAGTCTTCAATTCAGAATACGATAACATTCATGTGCGAGTAAATAAGAAGAAAGATTACAGTCATCAAATTATTTCTCCAAATTCAGTGAGTCAGTGAGTGTTTTACAGGCAATAAATTCTAGTATTCCAAGCACGATGTACTTAAAAATGAATAATCAAAATTGACGTATGAAATCCCATAATATTCATGTACTCTGGCCAAATATTTCAGCACTGAAAATATGACTCGATCAATTTATATTTATAATGAGGAAGTAGAGAAAAGAAATTACCGACGCTCTGTGGAAAACTATTGCGCGCTATATTTAAAAAAATATAACTCAGTACTCACTGCAGTGAGTGACAGAGAGCGCATTTTCTCGTCGATGAAAACGTGAAGTCACGGACGGACAGACGGACATGGCGAGCACAATATAGTGCATTTTTTCATAATTGAGAAAATGCGCTATAATATATAACTCAGTATTCACTGCAGTGAGTGACAGCGAGCGCATTTTCTCGTCGAAGAAAACATGAAGTCACGGAAGGACAGACAGACGGACAGACAGACGGACGGACGGACGGACATGGCGAGCACAATAGTGAATTTTTCATAAATGAGAAATGCGCTGAAAACCTGTGCTGCTTTCCTTGTCACTTAATTCGAGTGTTTAGGTTGGGGCGCGATTAAGGCACTCAATTAATGTTACTCTGGCGACTAAAAAGCGAAGGATTTAGCGCTTGAGTTCTGCTATTATGTTGATGCAAATAAGCAAGCCGCGATTGCTGCCATCGTGTGGGGGAGGGCGGAGTGTGATGATGTGGTGAGTCAGACGCGTGCTTGTGGATGCAGACACAATTTCAGCCGTGAGGCATCGCATGGAAGAATACATAGTTTCATGAAAGTAATAGTAGTAATGAAGATTTAAGCTGCGGTACATGAAACGAATAAGTGATAGTTTCATGATATTGAAGATTTCAGTGGCGGTGCAACATATGGATAAGTGAAAATTTCATGATATTAAAGATTTCAGTGGCGGTGCAACATTTGGATAAGTGATAATTTTATAATATTGAAAATTTAAGCGGCGGTGCAACATATGGATAAGTTATAATTTAATAATATTGAAGATTTAAGCGGCGGTGCAACATATGAATAAGTTATAATTTAATAATATTGAAGATTTAAGCGGCGGTGCAACATATGGATAAGTTATAATTTTATAATATTGAAGATTTAAGCGGCGGTGCAACATATGGATAAGTTATAATTTTATAATATTGAAGATTTAAGCGGCGGTACATCATACGTACATGTGAAAATTTCACGATACGGAAGATGACAGTTAAAAAAACACAATGAGAAGTGTAGCTCGGTGCTCGGCGGAGCGACGCTTGATTTACAGCATCGTGTTAAGTGCGGGTGCCGGCTTTACCAGCTCGATCAGAGCGTTCGCTCGCCATGCTCTCCCCTCACGGTTTTTTCTACGCGCTTCGTACGAGTTTGTGTGTCTTAAGTACATTGAGCAATTAGAGCGAACGTTATCCTCGTAGTTAGAGTGGTGTGTTGTTTACGACATCGTAACAGCCGTGGCAAAATATGAATAACTGTTTGGTCGTTAGCGCTCCTTTGCCGCTGACATGATCTGGCTGCTCGTATCTCCGAGGAGTGTGATTGCCTGCGCGAATGATGAAAGACCTCATGTATTTCAACATTGCTATGATTGTTAGTTTTTCGATGACATTAGTAAATATTTTAAATACGTAGAATATGATTGAAAAAATATTTACGGTACCAGTGAATAATTTTAAACACGGAAAATGGATTTAAGTGATAACAAATGAAATAATGAGTGCCCTAAAAGTAAAATATTTTTCCATAGTCAACTAAACCGAGCGCCTTATTACCACTCATTTCTTGTACAGGAAATGCCAATTTTTTTGTTCGTAAGCGTATCACAGGAACGACGAGCATATACTATACAGACGTACACTATACAGACGTACACTACACAGACGTACAATATAAAGACGTACACTATACAGACGTACACTACACAGACGTACAATATAAAGACGTACAATATACTGACGTACACTATACAGACGTACACTATACAGACGTACACTATACAGACGTTCACTATACAGACGTACACTATACAGACGTACACTGCACAGACGTACACTATACAGACGTACACCGTACAGACGTTCACCATACAGACGTACACTATACATACGTACACTATACAGACGTGCACTATACAGACGTACAAAATACAGACGTACACTATACAGACGTACACTATACAGACGTACACTATTCAGACGTACACTATACAGACGTACACCGTACAGACGTACACTATACAGACGTGCACTATACAGACGTACAAAATACAGACGTACACTATACAGACGTACACTATACAGACGTACACTACACAGACGTACAATATAAAGACGTACATCATACAGACGTACACCCTACAGACGTACCGGTACACCATACAGACGTACACTATACAGACGTACACCATACAGACGTACACCGTACAGACGTACACCATACAGACGTACACCATACAGACGTACACTACACAGACGTACACTATACAGACGTACACCATACAGACGTACACCATGCAGACGTACACTATACGGACGTACACTATACAGACGTACACCATCCAGACGTACACTATACAGACGTACACTATACAGACGTACACTATACAGACGTACATCATACAGACGTACACTATACAGACGTACATCATACAGACGTACACTATAAAGACGTACATCATACAGACGTACACTATACAGACGTACACGTCACACCATTAACACGAGTACGTATCATCATGCGTTGAATTAACATGAATATATCCACCAGTCAGTGCGTGACAATTGCATCTGATCCCGGGCAATGTCTACCTGCATGTATTGTACAGATATTGAAATTACTTGTGCACACTACGACAGGTTTCTTATAAATATTTTGTACCTGTGTAAAAAATCAAATGCCCAAATATATAAGATAAAATATTCATTTATATTGCATCACGCGTTAGGAAGTTATAGTTACTCTATAATGAAATATAATGAAGGCATTTCAAGAAGAAAACCAAACCCGAGACTTGTTTGTTTAAAGCAAACGACGATGTTTTGAACGTTAATTGTGCTCAGTGTTGAAAAATATAATTAAAACGCTGAAAATAAACTAATTGAATTATGCCGGGGATTTAAATGAACGCTATACATCGCATGAGAATTTGTGATGTGTTGCTAATTTGCCATTGATACTTAATTCTCGTCTCGTGTGTCCCTGAGAAAAAGTGCTATCATGATATAAAATATCGAGGTTATTAAAGAGAAAGCCTTGAACCGAAAAAATCGTGCCATGTTGAGACCGCATCAAAAATAATGTTTTCTACACTGTTAGAAAAATTACCGTTAACGGTATTACCGGCGTTTCAGTGGCCGGTCGGCACGTGAAAAGAAACACCGAGTCGCCGTTTTTATTCTAATTTAACACTAGAAATCCGTAAAACATCTGATAAAAACGGCGAAACAGTTTATTTTCACGGGGCGACCGGCCACTAGAACGCCGGTGGGAACGTTTTTTCACCGTTTTTTCTAACAGTGTATACGTTGCTGCATCGTTGAATCAAATGACGAAATCGAGCCGATTCGTGTCGATTATCTACATAAATGTGGCAGGTTGGTTAGATTAGTTTCATATCATTTGGTCGGAGCGATACATCGATACATTTAATAATAATAAAAAATTTTGAATAACCGACAAGAATTAAAGATCAAGAATATCGAAGCCGATCTGCGCGCGTGGAGCTCGAGCGTCGACAGCTGCCACCAACACCGAACAGCTGCCACCAACACCAAACAGCGGCCACCAACACCACACAGCTGCCACCAACATCACACAGCTGCCACCAACACCAAACAGCTGCCACCAACACCACACAGCTGCCACCAACACCTCACAGCTGCCATCAACACCACACAGCTGCCACCAACACAAGGTAACACCACTAAGAAACGCTCATGCTTTATAATAAAGAGAGTGATCAGCAAGACGCGTTGTAGCGGCGGCTGTAAATGGCCGCGTGAGTGCCACAACGCATTATCAGTGCCACTTAGCGAGGCGCGCTAATGCCTACAGACAGAGCGTCGTAGCCACGCGACTTATGTGGCACTTCGGCCCAGTGGCATCTATCGTCTCGGCCCTGTGGCATCTCCCGTCTCGGCCCCCGTCTCGGCCCTGTAACATCTCCCGTCTCAGCCCTGTGGCATCTCCCGTCTCGGCCCTGTAACATCTCCCGTCTCGACCCTGTAACATTGTGGCATCTCCCGTCTCGGCACTGTGGCATCTCCTGTCTCAGCCCTGTGGCATCTCCCGTCTCAGCCCTGTAGCATCTCCCGTCTCAGCCCTGTGGCATCTCTGGCATCTCCCGTCTCAGCCCTGTGGCATCTCCCGTCTCAGCCCTGTGGCAGCTGTCTCTTATACACATCTAGATGTGTATAAGAGACAGCCTTGAATACCATGCCTGAATACCGTGCCTGAATACCATGCCTGAATGCCATGCCTGAATACCATGCCTGAATGCCATGCCTGAATACCATGCCTGAATGCCGTGCCTGAAAACCATGCCTATAAATACCGTGCCTGAATACCATACATGAATACCGTGCCTGAATACCATGCCTGAAAAATATGGTTGAAAACATGCTGAGCCCATATCGTTTGGCAGCATTTCATCGATCATTCCATAAATGGAATGTACGATATATAATGTACATTATACATAATGTAATCTTAATTTTATAACATAGCAATCCTCATGCCTCGTTTCAGGTTGACATGAGTATTCGCGATGAATGGACGGTTACTGACAGCCATGATTGTTTCTATGCAGAAATCACCATTATATTCAGGTCGTAAGATGTTCAAAAATTGTAGAACAAAAAAATCATTTACAGACTACGCTCAGTGGTAAGTGAAATATTCTTGTCCATTACCGTAGATTTTTAATAAGTAATTTCTGGCCTGATCTAAGTTCAGAGATGATCTAAGTTCATTAAATAGCTCAAACAAATAAGTTATTGTTAACCAATGTTGCGCTGATTATTCACATGAAATATCAATAACAGAATTTGCATGTAAATAATTTTCAATGACAAACCTGACGTCGGAGATGCCCCGCGATTCGCGTGGTCATCGTCGCAAGTTTGTCGGTCGCCTACGTCGTCACGCGTCTTGTGCTCATCATGCGGACGAAGCTCGCCATCATCCGCCTCGCCCGTCTCAGTTTTGCGGACAAGAATATCATGGACTGGATCCTCGCATCTCTTTTCCGTGTTTCGAGACTGGCTGCAGAGCTCATTGGATATTTCGTTTCGTTCAAGTCTCTTGGTTGAAAAATTGTGCTGGAATGGAGGAGCAAGTGCGTAATTTGGCAGCCGAGTGGAGTTAACGTAGGAGGAGAAATCCTTGCAGCCACTCTGCAGGATATTGGAGTATATGGAGGTGTCTCTGTAACTATTCTGCAGGATATTGGAGTACATGGAGTCACTGCAGCCTTCCAGGTGCGCTATACTAAATGGATCTGCAGGGTGTGTGGCCATCTTCCAGGAGTCCTATATTATCACTTCACTCGTATGCAAAAATATTAATCATGTGAATTTTTTAATCCAGGAAATAGATTATGATAAATTCAAATATATATTCTTTGACAATTCACTAGTTTATAACAAGGAACGATTTCAACGGCGAAGAGTAGGGAGATTAAATTACATTGGAAGCCTGAAAATAGATAAGTCAACATGCATGATTAATAACCATGATTAGTAACCTATATATTCCTCCATTGCAGGTTTATGAATGATGAAACTAACTGGGAAGGTATCTGTTATAAGCTTATTTATATACACGTCTATATAGCTGCAAATATAGCACGTGCTGAGGAAAGCAATTCACACCTCATTGACGCGTTATACGATGCTGTGTAACATATATGAGGCTATGTTGCATGCATGAGGCTATTCATCGCGCATGAAGCTATGTTGCGCTCATGAAGCTATGTAGCGCTCATGAAGCTATGTTTTATTGCATGAACCTATGTTGCATGCATGAAGCTATGTTGTATGCATGATGCTATGTTGCAGGCATGAACCTATGTTGCAGGCATGAAGCTATGTTGTATGCATGATGCTATGTTGCAGGCATGAACCTATGTTGCAGGCATGAAGCTATGTTGTATGCATGAAGCTATGTTGCATGCATGAAGCTATGTTGCAGGCATGAACCTATGTTGCAGGCATGAAGCTATGTTGCAGGCATGCAACTATTTAGCGCGCATGAAGCTATGTTGCAGGCATGAAGCTGTCTCTTATACACATCTAGATGTGTATAAGAGACAGATGTAGCGCACATGAAGCAATGTAGCACGCATGAAGCTATATGTAGCGCGCATGAAGCTGTTTAGCGAGCATGAAACTATGTAGCACGCATGAAGCTATGTAGCGCGCATCAAGCTGTTTAGCGAGCATGAACCTATGTAGCACGCATGAAGCTATGTAGCGCGCATGAAGCTGTTTAGCGAGCATGAAGCTATGTAGCGCACATGAAGCAATGTAGCGCGCATGAAGCTGGTTAGCGAGCATGAAGCTATATATGCAGCATGCATGAGGCTATGTATGTAGCGCGCATGAAGCTATGAATGAAGCGTACTTGAAGCTATGAAGCACACATGAGGCAAATATTGCAGTAAGCAGTATCCATCATTGCAACGAAGCGAGGATTTAGCCGACATACGACCTCGATCGAAACTCATCGTCAACCTCGTATTGCACGGGTCAGCGACTCGGGTATAATTAAGTCACCATTCAGTAGAATATCGGAACTACCTGAAGGAAAACGCCCGTCATCTGTAATCCTAAAATTTACTATAGAAATTTATTAAGGTCAATGTTCTTTCAACTGGATAACAAGACTAAAGTAAAAGCCATGGGCTCCGTTAACTGGAATTCGTCGAAGTTTCTCGCAAGTAGAGCGAGTGGCCTCTGCGCTGAGAGGTCGAGGAGGATATACATATATCGTGTGTATGACACATTCAAGGGCCGTTCGCTCTCACGTAGTCTACTGTCTAACCGATAAATCTATACGATAAAAACATACGTGAGCAAACTTAACAATCAATATTAAACGAAACGCCCATATTAACTGGAAATGCTGAATGTCAATTATTCCCATTCCCGAGTTCATTCAAGAATTGTTAGCGAAGATAAAATTTCGGTCTTCGCCTAGCTACGATTTCATCAGTCATGGCCAAATGCAGTTGAAGACTACCTTACTTCTCATGCTCCAATTAATCATATGAATTCCTAATTAAATCTTATACTTCTGGCATTGGCGAGAACATTGGTCATTTTCAACGAGCTTTGAAATTATTGAACAGTTCCTATATAGTTTATCCGTCAAATTCTTCACCTAAGCAGGAAAATCCATCTCAAAACTTGCATCGCTGCATGATTTTTACACAACTACAATTTCATCACATTTCAATGGATATAAATTAATATAATCATTTCTGGTAAACGAACCGATCAAAACATTGCTCAGTAACTTTTCACATTTAATTAATTACTCTGGCAGGCTACATTTGAAAATTATTCATACAGCACCAAAAAGATCACAAGCCTATACGACCCGTTGCAAGAGTCTCCCCGACGATCGTGCCGTATAGCCACTCGAGCCTAACTAACCGCCCGAGTCGGCAACCCACCAGTCGTTGGCAGCAAGAAGGCACCCCTCTGAAGCCATGCTGAAGGAGGAGCCACTCTCGATCGCTCCTCCTTTTCGTCCCGATCTTTCGTTCATTGGGCGCGTAGAAATATTTTTGTTTTGCGTGGGAGAGATGAGAGCGTATGAGTTTCGCAGGCGACCCTTTAGCGAGCGGTTTGTAAACAATGAGATAGTGAGCATGATTTGGGAGCGTCTTTTGCTTAGCGACACAAAATGACCCTTCTCTTTTGCAGACATTATGAGGCATTTTAGCGTGAAGCGTTCGTGCAGACGATGGCGTTGAGAACGGCATGCAAATAAAGTAGTTTCAAGTCCTACATTCACTGTTTAACCGTCAGTTCCGAGTCGCTAACTATGGTGACAATCAGTACTTAACGCTATCATACCGCCGAAGCCCGAACTTCAACGGTGCGAAATTATTTAAGAAAATTTCACTACCGAATACGAAAAAAACTATGAACCAATTTCACTCTTAATACGAAAAAAACGCTGAGGTAAAATAAACAGAAAAATAAAAATTATTTCAGCTGACTCGGGTGCAATGATTAAAAGTTATATGTTATCAGATACAGGAATAATATTTCTTAATGTGTGACCTGCGTAATATTTCACCCAAAAATGAAAGACTGCCTGTAACTTATTATAAGGTAAACGAACTTGGCTGAATTCAAGCCCATCCTTGCATTAGATTTAACAGAAAGTGAAGCACTTGGACAGTAATACTCATAACTGTACGCAGCCACAATCACCCAACACAGCCGACATGACACTATATATTCTGTGTCCTATATTTTGATGGGGCGATCCGGAACCGGACACGAGCGTCTGCGGAATCCGCAATTATTAGGGGAATCATAGTTTCCTATAATAACTTAATACCCCAAATTTTCACCAGTTGATAATATAGTTCCTTTATTTATATTAGTGATGCTGATTTCGAAAGACAGACATTATAATTATACAGCGAAATTTCAAGTCCACAAGTGATGTCTATACAAGTGTTTAGTCAAAAGTAATTCAAGTTATATGCCCACAGAGTACTGTGTATCGTTTCTTCTTCATTCTTTAGTGGCATTTTATGACGTCGATGTCCCTGGCATGTTTACCGGACATTAAAGCCCAGTCTCGCACTAGCAAATAGTTTAAGTCCACAACGAGATGCTGGCCACGGCCGTACCTGAGGAGAAAGCCATGGCTATTTGATGGCGTCATTATCGGCATGACAAAATCTTGAATGACGAGCACAAAAACGCTCTAATGGATCCTGACGACAAACTGCTTCGCTTATTTGGCTTCCTCGAATTGAAAAGGTTTACAGCTGACGATATTCGCGGCCGATTTTCTTCTCAAAAATTTTCCTGCTTACGCGCAACTCTCGACCGCATTTGAAGAGGTTTCTAAGAAAAATTCGAATGCTTCATTTTCATTATTAAATTCAAGATTTATTTAAGATATGTACGAAGTCCAGCAGTGTCAATGTGATTCAAAATTATATCTTTAGTAGAAGTATTGATAATATGGCTCGGAAATACTTGGGAAAAGTTCAAAATCTAAATATTTATTTCATAAGATGCGTGGAAGATTTGCATGCGTATACGACTTAATTACAATATAAAAGACGAAGTAAATGTAAGGATTAAGAAAATCATAAAGCCCGTATCCACATCAAGAATGTGGACACTATATAGCGCTTCTATCCGTATACAGGCAGACTGGCCTGTACTTATTATATGGCTGACATTTTCATTTATACGTTAAAAATTTAACAATGCATGCACAACATTAATTGTGCAGCAATTAGAGCAGTCCGTTAGTTCGTAAAATTATTGTATATCTTCACTTGAATTTGTTAAAGACTTCAGTCGTACAGACATATGCTTCGGAATACAACATATTACAATAAACTTTTTTTAAACACCAATGTATATCAGAGAAATACATCATAGGTCGTTATAATGTTTTCCTCTGATTCTTGTGAGTATACATAATTCATGCATCCATGTCGAATAAATCCCCCAGGGACTCCCGAAGGACTTTTTTATAGGACATCTCGTCAACGGGATGTTACGGTAATCATGTAAAGCAGGATTACAGTAGCAAAAGAGTAACATGAAAATAAAACACTTTCGTCAGAGCTTCTGATGTCGAACTAGCGGTAGACTTCAGCCGCAACATGGTTCACTCCATCTATAAATAACTATATGGGGATATAACAAAATCATAGGTAGAATGCAGAAAACCGCTCGATTTTATAAATTTATTACGTGGAAATAAAGAATGAAAGTTCTGACACTAGCGTGATTGCGCATGTGTACGGAGATTGCATAACAAGTTTTTGAAAAATAATTACTGCAGTAATTAAAGTACCGATAAGAAAAATATGTACTTAGGTATATTAGGAAGCAATATACTTTTACTTCATTGCTTGACAAATCTAATATACCTACAATATTACTTCATACAATAATTTTTAATACAATATAATACTGCAATAATATGCTAATATTTATGAATAAGAGTTTGCATGCTTACCAACAATCTTTCGCTCACCGGCAATCTCTTCTACAACACTTCTCTTTAACTTCACTTCTTGTTTGTCTGTCTGTCTGCTACAAATCTTGTAATCGGTATTTATTATTTAACACACTTTTACCTATTCAATCGATCTGAAATTTTGCACACTTGCGTAAAGTTGGAGACAATGCATGAATCAATTGACAAATAAATAATTTTGAAAATGTTAAACAATTTATTTTTGAAATTAAAAAAATTGAAAAAATTAAATTTGTCTGCTACATATCTTATAATCGATATTAAACAC